AGATGATAAAAATTTCCTACATAATGAAGATGAAGGAAAAGATGAGTTTGAAGCCATGCTTGAGACAAAAGTTGAAGTGGAATATAATGGGGTTAAGAATGAAGATGGAGATGAACCGGGGTGAGTTATTTAGAAACACTACCAAGTCTTCCCACCTAAAACTGTTGTCAAATGTTTTGAAAAAAATTCCTTTCACTTGAAAACTTTTACTGCATAAGATTATTTATTTATGTAGCGTTTGCTGTAATAAGCTTCGAGAGAATAAACAATAAATAATCTTTTGAGCTTATTTTTTGTTTTAGGAAAACATTAGAAGGCGGCAAATACGACGGCTTCAAAATTTGTTGTTTACATTGCTCGAAAACGTTTAAATTAGAGTCTAACCTAAAAAATCACGTTCGAATTAAACATGGCGATCCCTTGCAAAGAAACAAATGCAAATGTCCGTATTGCCCAAGAGTGTACCGGAAAAGATATACTTTAAAACAGCACGTTGAGAGTCAGCACGGGAATCCCCTACAAAGAATTAAATACAAATGTTTACATTGCACAAAAGTTTTCGCATCAAGAGATTATGCGAAACACCACGTTCAAATCCATTATGGCGATCCTCTACAACGTTACAACTACAAATGTCCACATTGCCCAAAAGCTTACACAAGAAGTTATTATTTGAAAAGGCACGTTGAAAACCAACACGGCGGACCCTTGCAAAGAAAAAAATACAAATGTGCACATTGCCCAAAAGCTTACTCGAGCAGAGATGCTTTAAATCGCCACTTTAAAGTCCTTCATGGCGACTCTCAAAGAAAACAACACACGTGTCCACATTGCGATAAAATATTCTTCAGTGTGAAATCAAGAGACATGCACATAAGATCAAAACACGAAGGTTTTAAGATCAAATGTCCGCATTGCCCGGTTGCGTTATCAACAAAAATAACATTGAAACAGCACATTAAAAACAAACACGGCGATCCGAAAGAGTACAAATGTACAAAATGCGACGATGAGTTCGTAGAAAAGGACTCTTTAACCCGACACATTAAAGTTAAACATGACGGTTTTGAACACAAGTGTTCGCATTGCCAGAAGGTGTACAGTAAATTAGTTTATTTGAATCAGCACGTTGAAAGCCAACATGGCGATCCCTTGCAAAGAAAACAGTATAACTGCTCACAATGCGACAAAACATCTTCATCTATGTACAACCTAAAGGTCCATATTAAAGCAGCACATGAAGGATTTAAATTCTCTTGCCCACACTGCCCAAAAATCTACACTGAAAAGAAAGTCTTAAATAGACACCTTCAAATCATACACGGCATAAAACAAGAATACAAATGTCCACACTGCGAGGAAAACTTCTTAAATAGAAGCCTACTACATACGCACATTAAAATAAAACACAGCGGTAAATTCAGTTGCCCTCATTGCCCGAAAGAGTTCACAAGAAGTTTGTACTTAAAAAGCCACGTTGAAAACAAACACGACGATCCGTCACAAAGAAAAAAATACAAATGTCCACATTGCGCAAAAGAGTTCACAACTAGTTATTACTTAAAAAGCCACGTTGACAACCAACATGGCGATCCCTTGCAAAGAATTAGACACGAATGTCGGCATTGCACCAAAGCTTTTGCGACAAGTTTTTATTTGAAAAACCACGTTCAATTGCAACACGGCGATCCCCAAGAAATAAAAAAATACAAATGTCCACACTGCCCAAAAGCTTTCATAAGAAGTTACACTTTAAAAGGCCATGTTGAAAATCAACATGGCGATCCCTCGCAAAGAAAAAAATACGACTGTTCGCAATGCGACAAAATATTTTCATCGGTTGAAAGTTTAAAAAGGCACGTAAAAGTAACACATGAATCCATTAAAGACAGTTGTTCGCATTGCCCAAAATCATATACATCAAAGGCGTACTTAAAACGCCACGTTCTAAACCAACATGGCGATACCTTGCGAAAAAAAAAATTGCAACCAAAAACTAACAACTGCAACCAACATAAAGAAATACTACACAGCAAGAAAAAAGCTAAAAAAAATACAAATGTTCAAGACATTGCCACAGCATAAGAAATTTTAAGTAATGGCATGACGTCAGTGTTTCGTCATATTTATTAGGGCAAGATGTTTATGTCATATTTAACTCTTAAATGATTTAGGCGTGACCTATATCTAAAGCGTTACTTTACATGACGTCATTGTGTTTATTGGGGAGTACTGTCGCACGTTAACAACTTTAAAAGTGAGGTTAAGTTGCATTTAGCGCTTATTTCCCCACAGCTAACCCCACGTGACTCACTAGCGAGAGTTTCAGTCTTCATAATGTATTTTAAAAATGGAGGAAGTGTTTCATTGGAAACTCTAGGGATGTCTGGTTGCGTTAGGATTTTTGACTGGGCAGTCACCAGTAAGAGGAGATCCCTATTACCCAGTAAATAGAACTAGGGACCTTTTTTGCTTGTTACTTTTAATTTACTCTGACTATCTTGTGATTTACTACTGAATAAATTTTCAACTCTTAAAAACGTATTATTAATAACATGCATACCTATTTAGAGGCCTATTCCCTTTCGCTAAACATGCATGTTCATGAACTACGTATGTTTCGTAACATATGAGCCTATTCCCTTTCAATTATTTCGTCTATAGACGCATGCGCTCGAAGAATTTCTTAAACATCCATGTTTATAAACATCATCGGTGTTAAAATGGCTATTCCGTTTCCAAAATTCGATGTTTGGTGAACATACATGATGTTTGAAAACGTATGTTTACGAACGCTTGCCTAAGAGGTGCTGTTAAGGTTTTTTATCTTGCATTAATCATAAATTGCGGCGATGTTTGGCACAGTATACAGTACAGCTGATACTAGTATCATTATCAAGCATAGTAATTATAAATTAATTACTTTTTCATAATTAATACCTAATTAATTATAATTATAAATGATAAATAATTATTTATAATTGAGAATAGGACAAATCATATAAGGTTTTACACCAAACAAATAATAATATATTTTTTGGTACTTAATTTTAAAAATATTTTTGATTTGTTTTTTAATTATTAAAATGTAAGTATTTACTAATTATAATACCTACCAGAATACAAATTTTGCTTTACTGATTTTTTTAATATAATTTTATTATAATAATAAATATTTATTTTGAGAAAAACAGAAAATTAAAAAAAAACTGAGTGTGAAGAGAGAATGTGGAGGAGGAAAGTCAAGACTTATATGTATGTTACAAGAGTGTCTAAAAACGACCTCTAAAACTATATATATATATACTTATTGGTAGAATAAAAAATAACTTGGAAAAATATATTTTATTAAAAAAATACAACAAATATAAAATATCAAATACCTATGTAATATTATTACTCAAAAATATAGACAAAATATTAGTCAAAGAAAAGTTTAACTAATAAAATACAAAAAATATGCATCTAAAAACACTTTTTCTTCACATGGGAGCTAAAACTTTTTGGTTTAATTTTAAAATCTTATAGGTTTTATCAATACCTTGTAAAACCTCTACACCTTCACTACTCGTCAGAGTTTGAGTTTGACTTTCTCTTTATGCCTCTCTGTTGTAGAAGGCACCCTTCCACCCGACCTTAAAGGCTGGTCAATGAAGAGTTCCAACAATGGTATTACCTCCACCTTACCCTCCACCACTAACTTTCACAGCGCTTCCTCTATTACGGGTAGTAATTTATCCTTAAAGTAATTAAGTTGTTTTACTGGCTCCCCGACATTGCCAGTCTCCATGTGAGAAATGCGTAGTTTTCTTGCCATTTTCAATACACTAAAAGTGTGTAAAAATAAGTAACAAATAATTATTTTAAGATATTTTATGATTACCCTTTTCCATATAAGGATGGACTTAATGGCCCCGCCAGAAGATCTGTGCTTTGGCTAGTTCAGCATAAAACGTTTTTCCCAAGTATTAGAATTTGTGGATTTTCCCAAATTGTTTTAAGTTCATTTAATATATTAAATATCACCAATGATTTTTAAAACAATTATCTAACACAATTTTAGTTTACGATCTGCGACTTTTAGGTTATAAAACTAAGAAACTCCCTGTCCTAAAAACATTTATCGCTGTTCAGAAAGATTCAAGGTCAAGACTCTCAACATATGAGAAACGGAATAACCTTAAACATAGGTGATGTTGGGCTTGTCGTTGGGTGAACATACATGTTAAGAAATCGATGTTTACGAACAGCAAGAAAGGGAATAGGCCTCTTAAACTGAATAAAAATTTAATGAGACCTACCAACTTTGTAAAAAAGTAAAAACAAACGCGTTAATAATGAATTAACAATTATTGTCATTGTAGCCAAGCTTATAAAAAGGAAAGTTTAGGCCACCGTACGTGATATTATATATTCTGTGTTTTTTTAATGTATTTTCTTTTATTTTCCCCTTTCACAAAAAAAACGTATCTTTGCGTTTAATTTCAGATGACTGGGGGATAATTTTAATATTTGACATTGGCAACACTGGTTATAATGTTCGTAAACAAACCCCTGTGTAAACAAACGTTGTTTGTTTGTTTTGAATATTTGAGATTCGAAATTGTTTTAGTGGATATAAAACTTGGATACTAAATTAAATATAAATGGTAAGTTACTTAAATATAATGAGTTGTACATTAATATTAAATAATATTATGATGTACGTAAATTTTAAGGTTAGCCAATTATGTTTACTGGATTTTTGTTACAATTATTTTATTTGTTAACCTGTTAAACATTGATTAATTTTATAAAAGGTTTTGTAGAAAAGTTGCGATACAAAGTAATAGAAAAACAAACATATATATTTAATTTGTCATTTTAAAATTGTAAAAAATTCTGCGTTTTTTAAATAATTAAAATCTATCAAATCCAAAAATCTACTTGGGGTTTGCTATAATTGCACATTATGTAAAATAAATCTTAATTTTTTTTACAGTAAAAATATTTATAATACCATGAAAGACAAAGACGTACATTTATTTGATGACTTTGTCACTGAAGACATACCCAGCAAACACATAAGTCTGGTAATGTAATGGCCCATTACAGCGTTTAATGGTTAAATGATGGCATTTTTAACCCAAGCTGTTCTTGTACTGGGCCTCTACAGGAATTTTTCGTTAATAAATGTCAATTTAGACCAAAGGCTGTCGTGGTAAGGTCTTGCAATGGCCCTCCTCAGGCAATGATATTTATAATTTAACATTAAAGGCCCACATATGGCAATTATAAGTATTAAGTTAATGGAACTGTAAAACACCATTACAGTGCCAAATGTTTTCCTTTGCTTTACATCATATTTACTAATGAATTGCCTCATGTTAGTTGTATTATGCATATGCATATATGTATACATAGAAAAATAATATAGGTTTTGAGATATATTAATTAATTATCTAATAGGTGTATTTTATAATTAATTATATTAATGAACTAAACAACTAGGTAGTACCTTTTTCAAGTAAGTATTTTTACTGTACAATTTTTACATTAATGTCGTACTATTTAATAACCTATTTTATGTGACCTATTTTAAAATTTTAAATCTTTAAATCCAATATAAAAATAGGTACTTCAAAGAATTAAGCCAAAATCCATGGCGCAACTTTTAGCGCACCATATTTTGAATATTTAACCCTATTTAATTATCTCTATTCAAAACGAAGCTTTTTTCTAGAAAAACTTGCAAATTAGAATCCCATTATATAAGACCATTCCTACAGTGCACTGCAGTCGTCAATGATTTAGCAATAGAATAGAGATCTCTTATTTTATAATATTTGTTAAGTTTTTTTTTAATTAAATATGTTATGTTATAATTATGTTTGAATTACATGTATTTTATAACACATTAAACACTTTGTATTTTTTAATTTTTTGAAAGTTTTAGGGACATTCCATGATAACGAAATTTATGTCCCGACTGTTATCTATATAGTAAAGTACCTATATATTATGGTGGATTAAATTTGGTAGGTATATATTAATATATAAATAATAAATAATAATAAATTTATTAGGTCGGATATTACACGATAATCGGGAATTTTTATCCCTACCGTCAAAAATCGGTCGGGATAAAATATTTCAATTATCATGGAATATCCGTACCTAGTAAATATATAAGTACCACATTTAATCCGACATAATAGGTAGGTACTTTACTTATCCATTAAAGAATATTTAACTAACCACTATAGAATCTTTAACACCCCATATAAGAACCTTTAGCTTGCCACATTTGTACCTTTAACCTGCCATATCGGAACCTTTAGCGGTTCTTGTAAGTGTCTTTATCGACTGCCGTTACATGCCCATAAAAGGTGAACGCGACATAATATGTAGAGGTCCATTAAAGTCAGCCTTTATAGGGCCTTTAGTTTATTAAAGGCACGCGTTTAAAGGGCCATTACAGAACCTTTACGGTTGTGTTTGCTGGGTAAACTCTAAGGGGGTAAAAAAGGAAAACCAATCACCTCTAGACACTCTGATTCCATTGACAAAATTACAAAGTTCTATTGAACCAAAAAATATTAAAGAAAATTATTATGAAGAACTTGGAAATGATTGTTTGGTTGGGTAAGTATTTTAGATTTAAAAATGCATAAGTTTATTTTTATTACAAAATATTTAGAAACGGTATGATTTTGAAACATTAAAATGTTAAAATATTTTTTTGGAAAAAAAAGTCCCATCTTATCCTTACAAATTATATAATTTGTAAGGATAAGATGCACAAACAATGTTGCCTTATAAAAAAAGCGCAAAAATATTATTTTATAGTAAATTTTACAAAAAGTTTGAAATATTATTCCTCTGGTATGTTACCAATACATTTATAAACTAAATTAATAAAACATGGTTTATTTGATACAAAGTAATAGAAAAACAAACATATATATTTAATTTATCAATTTAAATATCAATGAGGAAGTTTGTGTAAAATATCATTCCTCTGGTATTGACATATGTACACTTTTATCAGATAAAATCTCACTACAAAGCCACAAATACGTTTAAAAATTAATTTTAGATTCAAAATCAACAATAGTGATAAAGAAAGTGACGATTCTGATCCTGGAGATAAATGTGAAATAACCTCATGCAATATTAAGGAAGAAAAAAAGGACAGGGACTTTTCTGAAGAAGATGATAAAAATTCCTCACATAATGAAGATGAGGAAAAAGATGAGTATGAAGCCATGTTTGAGACGAAAATTGAGGTGGAATATCATGGGGTTAAGTATGAAGATGAAGATGAATCAGGGTGAGTTAGTAGGAAAAAATTACACATGGCGTTTCACAGGCCCCGGAAATATAGGCACAATGAACTTTTTTAGACATAGTTCTATTTCATGTAGAAGTTTATGAAAAATTTGCCTTGTGTGGTAATGTAAAATTGAATGTTTTTGTAGGACCGACAGTAAAGTTTTAAATAAAGATGACCATGGCGAAAAAAATAGTCCTTCCAAAGGCAGGGAAATGTAAGTGTTTTTCTAATTTAAACTTTGTATGTAGCTTGAATAAGCTTCCAGGAAACAAACAATAAATAATCTTTTGAGCTTATTTTTTGTTTTAGGAAAACATTAGAAGGCGGCAAACCCGACGGCTTCAAAATCAGTTGTTCACATTGCTCGAAAACGTTTAAATTAGAGTCTAACCTAAAAAATCACGTTCGAATTAAACATGGCGATTCCTTGGATAGATACAAATACAAATGTAAACATTGCCCAAGAGTGTACTCAAGAAGATTTACTTTAACACAGCATGTTGAAAGTCAGCACGGGAATCCCCTACAAAGAATCAAATACAAATGTTTGCATTGCACAAAAGTTTTCGCAACAAGAGTTTATTTAAAACACCACGTTCAAATCCATCATGACGGTCCCCTACAAAGAAATAAATACAAATGTACACATTGTCCAAAATCGTACTTATACAAAACTAATTTAAATCGCCATTTTATATACTGTCACGGCGACTCAACACAAAGAAAAAAAAACACTTGTCCACATTGCGATAAAATATTTGCGGATGTGAATTCAAAAAACGTGCACATCAGGTCAAAACACGAAGGCTTTATGATCGATTGCCCGCATTGCCCCAAATCGTTCTCGTCAAAATTTAAGTTAAAAGGGCACATTGAAAAACATTGCGATCCGAAAGAGCACAAATGTCCTAAATGTGACAATAAATTCAAAGACAAAGACTCTTTAACCCATCACATTAAATATAAACACAAAGGTTATAAACACAAGTGTCCACATTGCCAGAAGGTGTATAATATAATAGGTAATTTAAATCAGCACGTTAAAAGCCAACATGGCGATCCCTTGCAAAGAAAAAAATACAACTGTCCACAATGCAACAAAACATTTTCAACTATTGTCACTCTAAAGGTCCACATTAAATCTGTACATGAAGGATTTAAATTCTCTTGCCCACATTGCTCAAAAAAGTACACAGTAAAGAGACTCTTGGATCATCATCTTAAAATCATACATGGCGTAAAACAAGAACACAAATGTCCACATTGTGACGAAAACTTCTTAAAAAAAAGCCATTTATGTTCGCACCTTAAAATAAAACACAGCGGTTCTAAATTCACTTGTCCTAATTGCCCAAAAGAGTTCGCAAAAAGTTATTATTTAAAGAGCCACGTTCAAAATCAACATGGCGATCCCCTGCAAATAAAAAAATACGAATGTTCACATTGCGATAAAAGTTTTCTAACAAGAAGAAATTTAGGCCAGCATATTAAAATAAAACACAGCGATTTTAAATACGTTAAATACGTTGAAAGTCTGCACGGCGATCCCCGACAAAGAATTAAATACAAATGTTTACATTGCACAAAAGTTTTCGCGACAAGAGATTATATAAAACTACACGTTCAAATCCCTCATGACGGTCCCCTACAAAGAAATAAATACAAATGTACACATTGTCCAAAGTCGTACTCAAGCAAAACTAATTTAAATCGCCACGTTATATACCATCACAGCGACTCGACACAAATAAAAAGCACGTGTCCACATTGCGATAAAATATTTGCGAATGTGTGTTCAAGAAACGCGCACATCAGGGCAATACACGAAGGTTTTAAGGTCGATTGTCCGCATTGCCCCAAATCGTTCTCGACAAAATTTAGGTTGAACGAGCACCTTAAAAAACATTGCAATCTGAAAGAGCACAAATGTCCTAAATGTGACAATAAATTCAAAGACAAAGACTCTTTAACCCAACACATTAAAGATAAACACAAAGGTTTTAAACACAAGTGTCCACATTGCCAGAAGGTGTATAGTAAAATATTTCTATTAAATCAGCACGTTGAGAGTCAACATGGCGATCCCTTGCAAAGAAAAAAATATAACTGCTCACAATGCAACAAAACATATTCAACTATTCACACTCTAAAGATCCACATTAAATTTATACATGAAGGATTTAAATTCTCTTGCCCACATTGCCCAAAAATGTACTCTGAAAAGAGACTCTTGGATAATCATCTTAAAATCATACATGACGTAAAACAAGGACACAAATGTCCACATTGTGACGAAAACTTCTTAAAAAAAAGCCATTTATGTTCGCACCTTAAAATAAAACACAGCGATTATAAATTCACTTGTCCTAATTGCCCAAAAGAGTTCGCAAAAAGTTGTTATTTAAAAAGACACGTTCAAAACAAACATGGCGATCCCTCGCAAAGAAAAAAATACAAATGTCCACATTGCGCAAAAGAGTTCACAACTAGTTATTACTTAAAAAGCCACGTTGACAACCAACATGGCGATCCCTTGCAATGAAAAAATACAAATGTTCACATTGCGACAAAAGTTTACTAAAAGGAAAATATTCTTGTACCAGTCTAATATGCACATACACCTTAAAACATCACAAAAGAGAAATAACGAAATAAGGCCCATAACCTCGAATTTAAAAACAAATTGTATCTAAAAAGTTATAGGTAGATACTTATATCTTATTTTTTAGAAACCTAAACCTCCAATAGCCTTATGTATGTATATAGGAATAAATAATAAAAACACATTTTATTAATATAATAATAAATATATTTTGCAGTTAAAGGCGTATTATTAACAACAAATTTTCCCCCTTTTAAACTAAACATAGTTTCAGAATCAAATTTTTAATCAAGAAGAAAAGGTAGGTAATTCTCTCATCCACGTATTCCCAGACAGCACATATACGACCATTGTACATCCAAACGTCCAATGTAAGTCCATTTGACGTCCAATGGATATCTTGTGCTGTATGGGTTGGAGTAGACGCGTAACGCCTATACTGCCCAACACAAGAAAACGCATTTAGAATTTTTTGTAGTTAGGTACTAGTAGTACCGTACTACCTTTCTCCATAGTAGGGTAGTATAGGCAATATATTGCTAAAAGTATAAACTAAAACTTGGTTTATTTCATAAACAAGTTTAAATAAAATTATATATTAAGTATTTATAGGTTTTTATTAAATTAAAAATATACCGTTTATGAAAAATAATACCTACCTATTTTGTTGATTTTGAAACAAAAATAGAATGCACTTAAAAGTATTTGAGAAAACAACAACTTTGGGAATAAATGGGTTAAAACGCTGTAGTGATACTAAAATGAACTCAAATCTGTCTAAATACACATAAATTAACATTTTTACTTACCTAACAAGTAAAATTTGGATATAACAAATGATACACCGCACTTTACAGCGTTTTCAGCCATTTGCAAAATTGAAATTACAAACGGACGCGTTTGTAAACAACCAATCACAACAAAGAAAAAATCACGTGCTTTATTCCACCAATACTTTGGTTTGTTTACAAACGTCTCAGTTTTCCAGGCCCACTTGATGTATTTTACTGTTGTCAAATTCGCCTTATTTGGAAAAAGGTAAAAGCAACGTTGTCACATTGAAGCATAATAACAGCAAAGTTGCCAAAATCGACTTCAAATTTAAATAAATGGTTTAGATTGCGTCTTAAAAATAGTTTTGTATTTTTTATTGTTACAAGCTAAATGAAATTTTCAAATTGTGCAGATAACAAATTTTATACAAAAAACTAGTGTTGGATGACATAATAACCGGTTATTATAATAATAAATAATAATAATTATAATCATTATATATAATGACTTGTCAAAATTGATAAATATTAGATCTGTCAGACTTCCAAAGCTATAGTTGATTGACAGAATATTGCCGTGTTAAACGAATTAAAGTATATGAGTAAAAATACTTTAATACTATAATAATTAGTATAATATATTATTAGTATAATATATTATATATTTAAAATAAACGTAAAAAATTGAATTTATTTAGTGACATTTGAGTTGTTATTTTTTCATATTGGCAACTTGCAAATTTGACACTTAACTTAAAATTATTCTGACGAAGCTGCAAAAATAATATTTGGGGAATAATTAAGATGTCTAAGGATAAAGGAATTGTAAGATACATTTTGTTATCATTATATTATTCATATTAACCGTTACTGAACCTACAATTTGAATATAATCCAGGCAAAGTGGAAGTTTTGATATTCTAACCTAAAATATCCTATTGGATGACAAAGGTTTATTTTTAATTCTGTTGTAGCTTTTAAGAGTTCAATCCTCAGAGGGTACAAAGCGACTGGAAATAAGCCAATCAGCGACCACTTGCCGCCTATATGAGAGCATTTATGAGCTGTTCGAACTGAACAGTTACACATTTTCTTTGTTCAAAGAAAAGAACAAGAAAAGTGAAGTGGTCAGCAGTAAAACTAACACAGTGCGTAATGCAGGGCTCCGACATGGCGACATGATTTATTTGGCTTCCAATGATGGGTCTACATTGTTTCCTAGTACTGTAAGTAGCTTGGTGAGATATCTCAAGTTTACTCCTACATTCTTTGTTACTGATTTATTTAATGGTTTTAGTCTAATAATAATCAGCACGGGGAACCACTCGAAGAGCCTGTACCTTCAACCAGTTCAGGTTTTTCAGGTTCTAGACCAAATTCTAGCAGAGCTGCAGTGAGAAGTTCCATTGCTGTTAAGGAAGATGATGTTGATGTTCAGTTATATAAACTTGATGGAAAGGTTGAGAGGGAAAGAGACGACAAACTGTAAGTTGCATGTTTTTATAGTTACACATTTAAGAATAGTTAAACAAATGTCAAAAATATATTCAGAATGTTTTAAATGTTAAAAACTATGTGTTGGAATGTCAAATTACCTTTTAGAATATCAAAGCACGTTTTAGAATGTTAAGAATTATTTCTTTAAAATTCTAAAAGGCAATTTTGAATGTTTTTTGATATTCTTAAATATACATTTTATTTTAATAGAACTGTTTTATGCAATTAAAGATTAGAATGTTAAAAGCTCATCATAGAATGTTTAAAGCACATTTTAGAATGTTAAGAATATTATTTTTGACGTGTTCTGAAATAAAATGTGTTTTTTGGATTTTTTTCCTTGACATTCTAAAATGTGCTTTCAACATTCTATAATGAGTTTTTTACATTCTACATTTTTTTTGACATTCTTAAAAACAAATTTTATTTTAAAGAACTGTTTTATACAATTAAAAATGACAATGACAAGAATGTCAAAAAAAAATTTTAGAATGTTAAAAACTCATAGAATGTTTAAAGCACATTTTATAATGTTAAGAATATTTTCTTTAAAATTAAAGGCATTTTTGACGTGTTCTGGAATAAAATGTGTTTTTTGGATTTTTTTCCTTGACATTCTAAAATGTGCTTTTAACATTCTATAATGAGTTTTTAACGTTCTAAAATGTGTTTTTAACATTCTAAAATGTTTTTTGACATGCTTAAAAACACATTTTATTTTAAAAGAACTGTTTTATTCAATTAAAAATAACGATATTTTTTTAAGAATGTCAAAAAATTTAGAATGTTAAAAACTCATCATAGAATGTTTAAAACACATTTTAGAATGTTAAGAATAATTTCTTTAAAATTCCAAAGGGCACATAGAATAAAATGTGTTTTTTGGATTTTTTTTCTTGGCATTCTAAAATGTGCTTTCAACATTCTATAATCTGTTTTTTAACATTTTAAAATGTTTTTTGATATTCTTAAATATACATTTTATTTAAAAAGAACTGTTTTATACAATTAAAAATTACGAAATTTTTTAAGAATGTCAAAAACAAATTTTAGGATGTTAAAAACTCATCATAGAATGTTTAAAGCACATTTTAGAATGTTAAGAATTATTTCTTTAAAATTCTAAAAGGCATTTTTGACGTGTTCTGGAATAAAATGTGTTTTTTAAATTTTTCTCTTGATATTCTATAATGAGTTTTTTAACATTCTAAAATGTTTTTTGATATTCCTTAATATACATTTTATTTTATATAATTAAAAATTACGATATTTTCTTAAGAATGTCAAAAACAAATTTTAGAATGTTAAGAATAATTTCTTTAAAATTCCAAAAGCCATTTCGTGTTATAGAATAAAATGTGTTTTTTGGATTTTTTTCTTGACGTTCGGAAATGTGCTTTCAACATTCTATAATGAGTTTTTTAACATTCTAAAATGTGTTTTTGACATTCTTAAAAACACATTTTATTAACTTCAAAAATGCATTTTGAATGTTTAACTTAATTTTTTGTAAGAATGTCAAAAACACATTTTAGAATGTTAAAAATTTATCATAGAATGTTGAAAGCACATTTTATTTTCAAAGAACGTCAAAAATACCTTTTAGAGTGTTAAAAGTAGGTATATTTTAAGAATCTCAAAAAACATTTTTAAATAATATGTATTCCAAAATAACGTCAAAGTGCGTTTTTAATATTTAACAATTAAAAATAAAGAGAGTTAAAAGCATATTTTAGTTAGTCAAAACACATTTAAAAATGCAACTGGCACAGATATTTAGAAAGATTGATTTAGGTGTCGTCATAACGCAAACTCCAGATGTGTTCACTGTTCCCCGTTGGAGCCCTACGACGAGGCCTATTTGCGGGAGCACAACATCAAGCACCTCTCGTTTCACTCGTACATCAAAAAGCAAACTTCTGGGGTGGATAGGGGCAAATTTTTGGCTCTGGACGACATCTCTTGCAGAATTAAGGAGGGGTGCAAAGATCATCCTCCATGGCCCAGAGGCATCTGCTCCAAATGTCAGCCAAATGCTATCACACTCAATCAACAAGTATGCGATTGATTTTTTTGGTCGAATGTTTTGTTATTTTGGTTTTTCGTAGGTTTATCGTCATGTCGATAACGTTGCATTTGAAAATACCAATTTGGTGGAGAAGTTTTTGAATTATTGGCGCACCACGGGTCTACAGAGAATTGGATTTATGTATGGAACTTATGAAGTTCACAGTGATGTACCTTTAGGTAAGTAATAGAATTGCTATTCTACAAGTTTTATGTTATTTTTATGATGTTTAAAAATATGACGATCTTTCCAATGGTTTGCTTAAATTGACGTTAAAATCGATATATTGGGTTTTTGACAAATTTGCGCACAACGTCAAAAATTAAAAATGTCTGTTTCTTCTACAAATTTTATGTCATTTTTATGAATTTTGAAAAGTGTACTAAAATTATGGCGTTCTTTCTAGTGGTGGGTTTGGATTAACGTTAAAATGGATACTTTAGGTTTTTGACAAGTTGGCGCCCTTATGTCAAAAATTAAAAATGTCTGTAACTTCTACAAATGTTATGTTATTTTTACGATTTTTGAAAAGTTTACTAAAAATATGACGATATTTCCATTGGTGGGTTAAGATTAACGTTAAAATGGATATATTCGGTATTTGACGAATTGGCTTCTACTTCTACTTCTACAAATTTTATGTTATTTTTATAATTTTTGGAAAGTGCACTAAAATTATAGCGATATTTCCAGTGGTGGGTTTGGATTAACGTTAAAATGGATATTTTAGGTTTTTGACAAATTGGCGCCCCACGTCAAAAATTTAAAATGTCTGTAACTTCTACAAATTTTATGTTATTTTTATGATTTTTGGAGGGTTTACTAAAAATATGACAATATTTCCAGTGGGGGGTTTTAGATTAACGTTAAAATGGATAATTTAGTTTTTTTGACAAATTGGCGCCCTTACGTCAAAAATTAAAAATATCTGTAACTTCTACAAATTTTATGCTATTTTTATGATTTTTGGAATGTATACTAAAAATATGACGATATTTCCAGTGGTGGGTTTAAATTAACGTTAAAATGGATATTTTAGGTTTTAGACAAATTGGCGCCCACGTTAAAAATTTAAAATGTCTGTAACTTCTACAAATTTTATGTTATTTTTATGATTTTTGGAAAGTGTACTAAAAATATGAAGATATTTCCAATGATGTGTTTAAATTAACGTTAAAATTGATATTTTAGGTTTTTAACAAGCTCGCGCCGAAGGTCAAAAATTTAATGTCTGTAACCTACAAATTTTATGTTATTTTTATGATTTTTGGAAAGTTTACTAAAAATATGAAGATATTTCCAGTGGTGTCTTTGTATTAACGTTAAAATGGATAATTTAGGTTTTTGACAAATTGGCGCCCCACGTTAAAAATTTAAAATGTCTGTAACTTTTACAAATTTTATGTTATCTTTATGATTTTTTGGAAATTGTGCTAAAAATATAACGATGTTTCCAGTGGTGGGTTTGGATTAACGGTAAAATTGACGTTTTAGGTTTTTGACAAATTGGCGCCCAACTTATATACAGGGTCCAGCATCAGAATTGAACGGTTTTGAAAAGGCTGCTATGGAAATACTATTGATTTGGTATATGTCAAATAATGACAGATTTATACCTTATTGCCGAAGGTTTCGTGTGCAATGTCAAACTGGCCGGTTAATCAACGGATCTTTGCTGTAAATTTGTTTACCCTGACCCAGTCCTTCGTACAAACGCAGAGACGCTTTCGTCGTGAATATAATTTTCCAGTGCGAGCTGAAGCCCCATAAAAAAGGCCATTTTGAGATGGGTAAGAGATTTTAACGAAAGAGGCAGTGTAAAATCAAAATTTGCCGGTGGAACTCGTACAGTTCGTACACAAAAATATTGGAAGAGTCAGAGAAGCGTTTAAGCGCAGTCAACGACGTTCTGTAGTTCGGCACTCGATTGCTCTACACAGACGAATGTTACATCTGGATTTAAAACTCCATCCAAAAAACCGACAGTCCAGAGGCTAAATCCCATTCATAAAGTCAATCGACTCAATTTCTGCACACAATTTTTAATTGCAATTGTACACGAAACTTTCGGCAATAAGGAACAAGTCTGTCACTATTTGACATAATATATCAAATCAAAAGTATTTCCATATAGCAGCATTTTTGAAACCGTTCAATTCTGATGCCGGACCCTGTATTTGGTGTTATTTTTATGATTTTTGTGAGGTGTACTAAACATTTTACAATCTTTTCATTTTTATCATTGATTTTTTAAAATTATTTATGCATCATATGTTAAGACACTGTTTCCAGTGCCAAATAAGCAAAATTCTGTCGTAAAATCCAAATAGGATTTTTCCCAAGGTCCTGTAAGATCAATTTTTAAATCAGGTATCAGAGCCAACGTGGTCTCGATCTACGAGCCGCCGCAAGACAGCACCCGCGACTCTGTCCGCCTGCTGCCGGACGACCGCGAGGAGACGGTCGAGTCCATGGCCTCCGCGTTGGGCCTGCGACGCGTCGGCTGGATCTTCACCGACCTCGTGGCCGAGGACGTGTCCAAAGGCACCGTCAAGCACACCAGGAACATCGACAGCCACTTCCTGTCGGCGCAGGAGTGCATCATGGCCGGCCACTACCAGAACATGCACCCCAACGCCACCAAGTTCTCCTCGAGCGGCTGCTTCGGCTCCAAGTTCGTCACGGTCTGCGTCACAGGTAAAGCCTTCCTTCCTTCCTTTCTCCCGTAAAAGATAAACAATAAGAAAGGCGTAGTGCAATTTACGGAAATCTATAAATGGCACTACGATTTTCGTATTGTTCATCTTTTACGGGAGAAAGGAAGGAAGGAAGGCAATCTATAAATCAGGCTTAACGGTTTCGTCGTCGAAAGTCGACTCTATAGACGGTTGCTTTTCCAGGGGATAAAACCAATCAGGTTCACATGGAGGGCTATCAGGTGTCGAGCCAGTGCATGGCTTTGGTGCGCGATAATTGTCTGCTGCCAACCAAAGACGCCCCGGAGTTGGGCTACATCAGGGAATCCTCCGATAAACAGTACGTTCCTGATGTTTACTATAAGGTAAGTGCATTTTTTTATTTTTTATTGAAAAAGTGAATCAAATACTTTTTTAATTTAAATTTGTCCTATAACTAAAGTGAATAGTAGGTATTCGAATAATTTTTTTCGTTGTAATTTGACAAATGCGCGTCAATCAAAAATGGCCTATAACTTTTTTGTCATCAAGTTTGCGGATATTGCGGTTGAATTTTTGGAATCTTAAAACTTTGTTTAAAAGATTCCTTGTCAATTCTTGTAAAGTTTACTAAAAATATGACGATACTTCCAGTGGTGGGTTTAGATTAACGTTAAAATGAATATTTTAGGTTTTTGACAAATTGGACCCCTCGTAAAAAATTTAAAATGTTATGTTATTTTTATGATTTTTGGAATTTATACTATAAATATGATAATCTTTCCAATGTTATGCTATAATTAACGTAAAAATTGATATTTTAGATTTTTGACAAGTTGGCGCCCAACGTCAAAAATTTAAAATGTTTGTAAATTCTACAAATGTTATGTTATTTTTATGATTTTTGGAAAGTATACTAAAAATATGACTATATTTTCAGTGGTGGGTTTAGATTAACGTTAAAATGGATATTTCAGGTTTTTGACAATTTGGCGCCCCACGTCAAATATTTAAAATGTTTGTAAATTCTACAAATTTTATGTGATTTTTATGATTTTTAGAATGTATACTAAAAATATGAAGATCTTTTCAATAATGTGCTTAAATTAACGTTAAAATTTTTATTTTAGGTTTTTGACAAATTGGTGCCCAACGTCAGAAACTTAAAATGTCTGTAACTTCTACAAATTTTATGTTATTTTTATGATTTTTGGAATGTTTACTGAAAATATGACGATATTTCCAGTGGTGGGTTTAGGTTTACGTTAAAATGGATATTTTAGGTTTTTGACAAATTGGCGCCCAACGTCAAGAATTTAAAATGTCTAACTTTTACAAATTTTATGTTATTTTTATGATTTTTGGAATGTATACTAAAAATATAAAGACCTTTCCAATGATGTGCTTAAATTAACGTTAAAATGGATATTTTAGGTTTTTGACAAATTGGCGCCCCACGTCAAAAATTTAAAATGTCTTTAACTTTTACAAATTTTATGGTATTTTTATAATTTTTGGAAAGTATACTAAAAATATGACAATATTTCCAATGATGTGCTTAAATTAACGTTTAAATTGATATTTTAGGGTTTTGACAAATTGGCGCCCCACGTGAAAAATTCAAATTTTATGTTATTTTTATGATTTTTAGAATTAGAATTTTTAAAATCTTAAAACATTGTTTTAAAGATTCCTTGTCAAATTTTTCAAACAATGTTTTAAGATTCCCAAAATTTTACTGTCATATCTACAAATATAGTAACAAAAAAGTCATAGGCTATTTATGATCGACGCGAATTTGTCAAATTTTCACACCGCAAAATATGAAAAAAGTTCCCAAAAAGATAGGGTATAAAATACTTTATAAGGGAGCTACACCCCTTTGAAACAAAATATAGTATATTTCTAAACATTTTATAAATCAAGATTTTTGTTCATTACAATACAAAATGCTCAAAAAATCGTTTTGGTCAAAAGTATGATTTTAATTTACTTTTTACAATCCTCAAATTTAAAATGACTTTATACTTACCTTTAATAAGCTTTTTTTAAATTGCACACATATAATTCTGAAAAGGTAGAGGTTAGAAGAGAAATAAAACACCAACAAATTATTTTGTTCTGACGCGGAAAGTAATTTATTTGAAATTTAACGTGAGATGGTAGGTACTCAGTTATCACAAATATAGTCGGGTCTTTAACAAGGCACAAACACTGGCGCTACAATACATAAAATATTTCGCAATTCAAGGGTATTCAGGATTATTTTCTTTTAAATAAATGTTTCGTTTCATCAAGTCAGCCCACCCACAAACTGAACAAACAATCCCAGTCTTTTACTACCTATACATTTTTTACACTTGTGGATGGGCTGTTTAATATTCGCGAAACAGCTACGACTAAAGCTAGACTCTGAAAAATGTACAACGACGCTATAAACTAGAACGATTTCTTTTTGTTAGATATACATTAATTGCCACAACTAATTTTTTATGAGGTTAGATTGAGACACCAATCAATAAGGTGATGATTTCGTTTTTCAGGTAATGAAAAAATATACTTTTGCTATCTTCGCTTTGGTTCTGTTACGAAAAATTATTGTTCCCGATTGCGGCGAAAAAAACTACACAGTCGAAGTAGTGTTATGTTGATGATGACTCGATAAAACACGTTTAACTACACCGACACATTTAGACACATATTTTTAAGTAGGCTTACATTAATAGGCTACTGCTATTCGGCTAAAACTCGTCTATATATTATGTTTATATAAATACGCCTCTTCGATTTCATTTGTACTGCGCGTGGATTAAAAGAGAGAGAGAGAGCAAAGCCAAAAAGGTTTAAGGCACAACTAAACGTTTTTTACTATAGCGAAAGGGTCCCCGATAGAAAACATGATATGCCCGATAAATTCGATGTTCCGCAAGGGTCCGACGCGAGACTGTCAGTAACGATTCAGACGAACAAAATAAAAACGTTTTTTTTTTTTGATAAATAACTTAAACCTACCGATTTACCGTGCTTACACCTACAGAGTTACACTGCCTTCGTTTTTAAGCGGGAAAATACAAGTGTAACTTTTTTTAATTAATGTACATAACTTTGGCTGTGATCTTGAACGCATTTGCAGCAGTTCAAGTTGAATTTAACAATTTCCTTTGCATGTATGACAATTAAAACGATTTAAAATGTTGAAACGGACAAATTGGCGCCCCACGTCAAAAATTTAAAATGTAACAATTTTTATGATTTTCGGAAACTGTGCTAAAATTATGACGATCTTTCCAGTGGTGGGCTTGGATTAACGTTAAAATGGATATTTTAGGTTTCTGACAAATTGGCGCCCAACGTCAAAAATTAAGAACGTCTGTAACTTCTACAAATTTTACGTTATTTTTATGATTTTTGGAAAGTACACTAAAAATATGACGATATTTCCAATGATGTGCTTAAATTATAGTTAAAATGGATATTTTAGGTTTTTGACGTCAAAAATTAAAAACTTTTACAAATTTTATGTGGAAAATACAAGTGTAACTTTTTCGTAAAAAATAATCAATTGATAGAATTTAAACAAGTTTATAGTGCTCTGGCACTGGAACTAACAGCTATAAGGTACGTGGATAGAAAAAGGAAGCATAATTCGCGAAATAAATTTAACCATTCCCAACCGACGATTCGATAATATTTTACAATTTTTTTTTCTTTTAAACTCTGTATCTTTAATAATAACGCTCCGTTCGCTATAAACTACAACATAACGTTAACGATTACGAATACTATAATATAATGATTATATTTTCCGTTAAGCTACGACAAACTAAAACCCTCGAGTATTTTTTGTGTATAACTCCCAACGACGCGACTTTTTACATACAACATACGAAAATATATATTTTCTCAAGTTTATAAGCTATGACGGTTTCGTTCGCAAAAAGCACATAGATCTATACACGGACAAATGTTTTGTTTGAATGGTCCCCCGGATCTCCATAATGTTTGATTTTTGATGTATAATATAATTCGTTAGCGTGCGGTGCCATCTGTCAGTCTTTACGTATGCGATTTTTTAATTCGTTTAAATTCGAGATCCGGGCGGGCCGCGATACGGCGGAAACGAAAAAACATGTCGATTTTGACGAAGAGAGTGATAAAAGCAACATTTACATCGATATAGTTTTTTCGTTTTGCTTTGCTTATTGTTTCTACAACTTGCCGCACTTGGCGATGACAATGTTCTTCGTGGGTTTCCCCGCGGTGTCCCCGTACGTGCTAATTTTTTCCACCAGCTCCAAACCTTCGACGACATGCCCGAAAATCCCCGTGAAACCCCGCATCTCCTGCAGAATGATTCTGAATTGCGAGCCGACCATACCGAGATTGTCGTGGCGTTTCTGCGTTCTGCGCATGCCCACGGTACCTCTCACCGCCATCAGTTTAGTGTCGTCGGGCAAAAAGTACGAATCCTCGAATATGCTGCGTCCCCCTCTACCGTTATTCAACTCAAAATCGCCTGTGATGACGCTTTCCCCTTCCCAGCACTGGAAGATCTGGCAGCCTTTGTAACCCATGCCGGCCTCGCCTAAAATGTAATAATTTAACCTCAACATCACCCAAAACATCGTCTTAGTTACCTGTGGTCAAAACCCCGAAATTTTTAGCCATCTTCGGCGCTACGTCAGCCCTAACCTCGATTACAACTCGTCCCAACTGCGCCCCGTTGACTTCGACGTTGAAATAAAACATGGGGCACATATTGGCGGGGTTCCTCACCTGCGGAGAGTGCATCATGCTCTGCATCAGAAGACTGTTGTCTTGGTAGATGGTTTTCGGCGGCGCCAAAACCAAATGCTGCTGAGATGGCGCCGACGGCGGCTGGGAAGCCCCCATGTACGAGTTCTGCCCCGCCGAGTTGTGATTGTGGTACTCCATGTTGCCGTTTACGTTCGTCTATTACGTTACGTCATATTATTATTATTACAATTACGCATCGAGAGAGCGGTATTTACCTGTTTTGATAGCATGTGCCGCGAGTACAGCTGCGACATGCAATAGTTGGCCAGGAACAAGATCGGGTTCTGCTGGTTCTGCGCGGGCACCCGGGAGTTCCCCGCGAACGAAGCGTCGCCATTTTGAATGTTGCTCAATGCCTGCTTGAGCAACTGAAAATCGAAAATTACCGTCGAGTTTCGTATTAGATCGTCTAGTTGGCATTGCAAATACATTTCCTAAAAGAACCGAACGATAATTTCCGAACTCCACTGTTAATATCGACAGGTTTTTGACATTTGCATTTAAGATTTTTTTTAGCACAGAAAATGAGTTGCAAGTCTAGTTCTCGTAGGAATGTTCGTTTTGCAAAGATTCGTCCTCTCCTTATCAATAATTAAATGTATCAATACCCACAACCACGAAAATGATGTTCTCAAGTTTTAAGGTTTAAAACAGATTCTACTAAGAATAGATAATACTAAGATTTGATGCCTTAAAATATAATCAAGAATATCAGAATCTTATTAGATAGCTTCGGAATGTTTGAAATCAGAATACGAGTACCGCATGGTTCAATTCTTGGCCCTCTGTTGTTTGCTATCCATATTAATGATTTCAATCTAAATGCTTAGGATATTTTGTCAAAACCCTTCGATATTTGAACGAATTAACCCACCTGGTACCTCATCTGCAAGCGCTGCTTCTCGACGCCGACGCTGGAGCAGAGCTGATGAACGTCGCTCAAATTTTCCGCCATCGAGAGGTTGAGGCGCAGCTTGGCGAGCGCGTCTCTGGTTTCCGTCACCTCGAAATGCGACGCGTTGTTGGTGAGGTCGGCTTCGACGTGCGTCTTGAGCGTGACGCACGCCTCCAAAATTTTGAGCAGGAACTCGCGCTGCTGCACCGCCAACCGCTGAATCTCGCCGAGCATCTTGTTCATCGACGCCAGGTCGATCTGCAGCTCCGCCACCAGCTGGTCTTTCGCTTCGACCTAAAAGTCATTTTTTTTTAAATCTTTCTTTGTATTTCGTCGCCGCTTTTGTTTAATTTCGTTCGTGTTCCTCACCAGCTTCGATAGATAGCTGTATCAGTATCGAGTTGCTGTATGGTGCGGAACACCGACGAAATTACGATTCCTTACCCTTATATAGCTTTTAGAATCATTCACAGCGGTGAGATGAAAGTAAGTGGTGCCATCTACCGTCTTTCGACGCAGTCTGGCTTTTAAGTAATTTTATCGAAAAATAAATAAATGTCCCTACCTGAGATTTGATTTGATGGGCGGAATGATCGCTGGTGTTTGCGCATGCGCGGCACACTGGCGAGCAACACGTGTGACACCAAAGCGCCAACGGCATGGCATGTGTGTGGCAATTTTCCGAAATTACCTAAAATTTAACCAAATTCAAAAAAATTCTATCAAACAAAATTTGTATAAGTAAAATTCACTTAATTTTTATTATTATTATAATCAAGTAGTAAAAAAACAATATTTTATAGAATTTATTTTAGTTTACTCCAAGCAACATTTTTTTAAATTTATTACCTGATAGGGAATATCAGATACTTAAATCATATTTTTATTGAAAATAAATAACACAGTTCCGATAATAGTATATTATGTATCAAGTTTGATAAACGCCATTTTATACACGAATTGAATTTAGGCACGAGCGAACTTGCGAGCGAGTGCTTAAATTAATGAGTGTATAGAAAAGTTTATAAACGAGGTGCATACTATACTTTTTCTACGACAAATACTTATTATCTTAAAATGATTAAATCATAAATTTGCATAGAGCGCCATCTATGAAACAACAGGGGAAACTGTCAAATGTCACATTTTTACATTTTATAAACACAATTATAAAGGTTGTCAATGTGTATTTAATAGGTCACTTGTTGTCATGGAAACATGTACGATAAAGGGCCTTTTAAAGGTGGGAGTATAAAAAATAGTATATACAAGTTTAATGCACGCCATTTTAGACACGGGTTTAATTTAGGCACGAGCGAGTGCTTAATTAAATGAAGAAATATTTAATATCGAAAAAGTGATTTAAATTAAATATTTATATAAAGCGACATCTACACGAAAATAAAGTAACCATCGCAATAAACATTTTTGGTCTTAATTTTCACCATTAACATTGCCCGGTATTATTTTAATTAAACTAAATTAAACAATGTTAAAAAAATATTCTATCCTTTGATTTTTGTATTGCTATAATTGCAAAATATTATCACAAAGTCTTAAAATTTCCTACACGGGTACTAAAAGTGACAGTTGTATTTATTGGAATTCCCGTTAGAATTTCTAACTTAAAATCTCAATTTTTTTTGTGTAAATCAAAACTTATCCCTTGAAAATAGACAAACAATAAAACAGTTTTATGTCCATTTAAAAGTGTCATGGAAACGTGAATTAAAATCTAAAAACCTTGTTAGCTGGCTTGTCGGGCGGCTTGACCCTCAGCTGGGCGAAATTTTTGGCCAGGCACAGCACAGGGGCGTACGTGGGCAAAGATTCGGGCCCCATCTCCCCCAATTCGGTCCTCTTCCAGCAGTAGACGCAGTACAACTCCTGACCGCCGCCTTTGTTCAGCCCTGTGCGCATGCACTGCAGGCAGAAGTAATGCTTGCAGCTGAGCAGCTTCGGGCTCTGCTCGGTCTCGTTGAACTTCTGCTTGCAGTAGCCGCAAAGCATTAGCTCCTCGAATTCCGGTGCTGCCACGTTGTCCATGTTTCCTAGAAATAAGTTGTTTCGTACAAAGTATTAATAAAGATATTTCTACTGTGGAAAATGTGGTTTTACAGTGCAGGGACGGGAAGTAGTACTTTCCGTACAGTTTGATCAAAATTACTCACAAAAAACTTGATATATTTATATTTTTTTGAAGCCCATTATAGTATTTCTTTTATAATCCTCTTTGGTGTTATGAATATCACATTTCAGCATATTGATTTTACTTTAAATTATTTAGTTTTCTGTCCCTTAAAATCACGATTTGTATTATCAAATAATAATTTTTTTTATTTTTAACTCTAAAGAATAATAATAATTCATAACAATTTTTATGGAATTTATATAACCTTGTGGGTGCAATTAAATACATTTAAAATTTTCATTTAACAAAAACTCGTAGGCATATTTTATATTTAAAACGGTACAAATTATAATTTTGCCTCCAAAACAAATATTTTGTAAATCTGAATAAATTATTTGATCTCTATAATTATACTTCGCGCGTATAAAAATTTATTTCTGATAACATTTTTAAAGTTGTTTTTTTTCATTTAGTTTAACAACAATTATTGTGAAACGTTTTGTGTTTTCTAAATAATTTAGGTGAATAAAAATATAAAATTTGTACCATTTCCGGTACATCATAATAGAACAAAAACAATGAAAAATTCTATATACAGTGTGACCCATTTATTTGCGACTCACCCCTGTAAAATATTTATTTATTGTGCGATTTTAACCGGATTTTAGATCTTGATAAACTGCATTTTTAAAACAAAAAACGCCATATTTTTACAAAATACAAAGCCTACTATGTCAGTTTTTTAAAAGTAAATTTTTAAAAATTCATATTGACGATTTTTTTAAACAAAGCACGGCACTGGATTCACCACCCCTCAAAACTAAACTTTATTGAAAAATTTTAAGTAGAAAAATGCACAATAACTACAAAAATTTATCCATGAAAAAACATTGAAATAAAATTAGTACTATTTAAATTCAGTTTTCGATTTCGATTTTTTTTAATCACCCCAATATATATATTTATTATAGAGATAATATTTGCACCTTTTTAACTATATTTTGTTGAATTTAAAGGCTATTTTTACTGTGTTGAATTGGGTCAGTAAACTTTTGCTGGGTACATATTAATAAAAGTTCAAAATAATAACATTTATTATAAGTTTTCCTGGTTGTAGCTAATACTAAAAAAGCGTATATTTCATGTCAGTGTTGAGGATCAATATTTTATATTAATACTTTTAGGTTAGAACGTTTAACAAAGTCATAAAATTTAAGAGATCAAAAATTGATTTTTTAACATTTTTTAACAATTAAAATTATAGTTATGGGTAAAATTAAATAACATTCTTTGCTATACCTAGTTATTTTGTTTTAAAGAAAGGCCGTGGGAAGTATGAAAAAAACGTATAAACAAATAGTTACATAACCTAAATAGGCTAATCGATAATGCGTGTGTTTAAGGAATGTGTTAGGTTTTCGTATTTCATACACAATTCATGTAAAATGTCGTAATGTTTGATAAATTCGATTTGGTGTGACGTTTTGGCGCCAATTGTACACCCGTGACGGGCGTTTGATTGGCCAGCGGGATAATGCAATCGACAAGTGGCAAGAAAGGGACCATGGGTAGCAATAATTTTGATGGTAATGGTGTCTCCCTGCACCCTAGGAGCGATAAATTGTTTGGCTTACCGTATTTTTTAACGATGTATTACACAGCCAATATTTAGTTCCGAATTTAGTACGTTTACGGTTGTTTTTTATTTGGTCGGTAAATGGATCGTCGTTATTTGTTTTGGTTATACGTTTTTGTACTATTTTATCGGTTACGGTTTGTTTCTCGCTTAAATTACATTACAGACGGGCAGGCGCCGATGTCGGCGGCCCTGTTTTCGCCTTTTCGATACGTAAAAACTGAAAATGTTGGAGTGGCCGCTACGCGAGGTGCCACATCATTTTGTCGACTGACATTACCGTTAAGTTAGCCGATGATGCGCCATTGTTTGCCCTTGAAACGTCACAGCTCACTTCGCGGCGACTCACAACGCGCCAACTTCGAAATCGATTCACTACTACTACGTCGTACACTCGGCGCAACAAGTTTCCATTCGGATGGGGCGGTCCGACCGCGGCCAATCTATAAATTTACCTCGGACAAAGAACAAAGGCAACCCCCTTTCAAGGATACAAAGTCCCCCTAATTACATTTTATTAGTATTATTTTATAAAACTTTGTTGTTTTTTTTCATTTTGCTAATATTAATATATATATGGAATATTATTGATCCGACACTGTAAAGAATAGCCTTTAAATGCAACAAAATATGGAAATAATAATGTAATAATTCAAAAGATTGTTTGCCTAGTAATAAACATAAATTATTTTTTTATTTGTATTTATCTAAATTATTAAGATTATACCTACCTACTTGTTTCACAATTGTTGCTGTTAGACTAAAAAATGACAAAAATTAACATTCTTAAGACAGTTATATATTTTACCTACGACATAGAATAATGTTTTATTTTATGTTAATGAACCTTAAAATTCTTATTAATATTTTTATTGATGAACCATTAAAAAATAGAAAAAATACCATGCATACTAAGTTTACGGGCTATTATAACCCTTATAGTGGGAGACATATCTTAAGAATATCAACTGTGATAATTAAGTTGACAGTCTTAAAACAATTTTATCCAGCTTATATTGATATTCCTAAAACAATTATATTTACCTTAAATTGACATTCTTAATATAGTTATAACTATATATACATATATATATTCTACCTTAAATTTTTTTAAAACAGTTATACCTAAATTAAGCTTACAGTTAAATCTGGCTTAAGTTGACATTCTTAAAACAGTAATATTCTAGCTTAAGTTGACATTCATAAGGCAGCAGCTTAAATAGCTTATAGCTAGAAAAAATTGACATTCTTAAGAGAGTTATACCTATCTTACACAGCAAACGAAAAATTATAGAAGTGTATAGGATGACGCCACGTTTGAATATCGTTTTCTAAATCTCCCCACGGTATAGATTTGTATTCGTCAGTCGAGCGTTTCAATACTCTCCACAGTATAGAGGTCGTAATTTCACTTTTGAACTGGTAGGTATTAATATAAAAAAAAATAAAAAAATTATTTTATGCTTAAAAAAAACTATATACGACATGATTGTGATTTTGTTCATTTTATTAATTAATTAAGCTGTGTTGAATATTTTTCCTAAAGGAATAATTGCCAATGGGCCATTAATTCATTTGTTCGTAGATGCTACAATAACCTGCACTGGTGTGTACTTTTTTATCAACCAGATTTAAATATTGCTGTACTAACATATACCAGTGGAGATAGTGCAGGGTCTACCAACAGACCTCATTACTAAATTATTAAAGTTTAATACTTAGCATATCGATCATTTGTTCAACATAACCTCTGAAATTTTTAATACAAATATAGGTACTTTATATAATACATAAATATACTTAACATCATATCCTCTGTGCTTTACCTACCTGAGTTGTTACAGTAAATAAAAATCAGACAAAGGAACCAAAGAAAGGAACTATTTTCAACAAAATCATATGCAGAAATGAGAAAATTCAAACTACTTGCATCCATCAAAAGATCAAAACTTCTTGCAATATTGAATTACACCCTCTTTTTATACTCTCAGAAATATTGACTAGAACAGTATTAGTGAGACTCCAGTTTCTATAACTTGGTAGAGTAAAGAGAAGTCGAAACCGTTGCGATATTGCATTGCGCTGTTTTTGTATAATTCTCGGGGACATTAACGAAAATCATTGCCAGTAAAATTCGAAAAGCTTGAGTTTCTATGTCTCTGAGGAGAATAGGAATCCGAAGTTGCTGCACCATTGGACTGAACCCTTTTTTAATAATTTCTAGAGACATAAATGACTGCACCATTCGACAGGGTCGAGTTTCTACCTCTCTGTTGAATATAGAAAATCAAAATAATGTATCTTGTAAGACACCATTGAGTTTGACTTTAAATATAGTCGTGCATAGGTATAGAGCCGAAAAATATAAAAACAAAGCACGATTCAATACAGTTGTGATAAAACTTTAAGATTTGATATTCAAACGCGGAGTCATCCTATACACTTCTATAATTTTCCGTTTGCTGTGAATGTTTAATCCCAATAGGATGTCAATTTAAGCTAGATAAAACTGACTTAAACTGACCGATATAAGGGTTTTTGTTCGTTGTTTTAGGAAAAAGATTCTTATGGCAACGAAGTGTCTCGTTTGGCGCGCCCTCTGCCGGTGGAGTACTTGCTAGTCGACGTGCCGGCCTCCACCCCGGTGAATCCCACGTACACTTTCAACGGCGACGTCTCGAAGCAGCCGTTCGCCATAGAAAACCGCTTCGTCGACGGGCACATACAGGACTTCCAATCGCTCACCAACTATCTGGCGCAGTTCGCCTTCAACGAGTTCCACCTCGCGATCAACGACTTCCATCTGCTGCTCTACATCGCCACGATGGACATGCTGCCCATGAAGGAGTACATGGGGCCCCTGCTGCAAGCGCTGAGGACCAAGGACCGCGCTGCCGCGGAGGAGTGGTCCAGGTCCGAGCACTGGGCCACCTTGGAGCAGCTGATCGCGGCCAGCTCACCCCCGCCGTCGAGGTGAAGTTTACCTAAAAGAGTTGCAGGATAGATTGACATTTTTCGTTTTCCGTTCCAGGCCCGGAAGCGTCGCCTCCGGAAGCATAGCCTCGGCGTCCGTCGGGTCTCCGGGAGGAGAGGCGAGATGGACCTGCCCTTTTTGCACCTTCCTCAACCAGGCGGATCACCAGAACTGCGAGATGTGCAACTTGCCGCGATCAAACAGAACTCACTAAGGTAGGATGAATTTGTTTTGATTTTGTTTGATTTTTTATTCAGTTGTTTAAAAATGTCAAATTAATAAATCGTAATGTTAAAGTGACATTTTTAATTCGATGAATACAAATTTTGTAATTGAAATTAACAATGTCATAAGAGAAATTTATAATTCGAAAAATATCTCCTTTGATATTATTAATTCATTCATTTAAAAATTTCTCTTATCATATTTTTAATTCGAATTATAAATTTATCTGATATTTTTAATTCGTTTAAGAATTTTTACCATAATAATTTAAATTTGAATTATAAATTTCTCCTATGATTTTTTTAATTCCTTTAAACCTTTCTCCAATAATATTTTTTACTAAAGAATTATAGAATTGCACATTGATGTTTTTAATTCAAATTAAAAATATATCTTTTGATATTTTTAATTCGAATTATAAATTTCTCCTATGATATTTTTTTGTTTATTTGTAAATTTTTAATTGGAATTATAAATTTCTCCTGTAATATTTTTAATTCATTTTAAAATTTCTCTTATGATATTTTTAATTCGAATTATAAATTTTTCTAATATTTTTAGTTCATTTAAGAATTTTTACCATAATAATTTGAATTTGAATTATAAATTTCTCCTATATTTTTTGTTAATTCCTTTAAACCTTTCTCCTATAATATTTTTAACTAGAATTACAAATATCTCCTATGGTGTTTTTAATTCGAATTAAAAATATCTCCTTTGATATTTTTAATTCGAATTATAAATTTCTTCTGTAATATTTTTTTGTTCATTTGAAAATTTTTAATTTGAATTATAAATTAATTTCTCCGATATTTTTAATTCATTTAAAAATTCCTCTTATCATATTTTTAATTCGAATTATAAATTTATCTGATATTTTTAATTCGTTTAATTTTTACCATAATAATTTTAATTTGAATTATAAATTTCTCCTATGATTTTTTAAGTTCCTTTAAACCTTTCTCCTATATTTTTAACTAGAATTACAAATATCTCCTATGGTGTTTCTAATTAAAAATATCTCTTTTGATATTTTTAATAAATATCTTGTATATTCTTTTGTTCATTCGAAAATTTAAAATTTTAATTATAAATTAATTTCTCCTTTGATATTTTTAATTCATTTAAAAATTTCTCTTATGATATTTTTAATTCAAATATCTCTGATATTTTTAATTGATTTAGAATCTTAAAAATGTCAACTTAACCTGGAAAATGGTTTTATTTTTTCAGGATTTTACCTTGGAGGAATGCACTTGGGTATAATGTGATTAAATTTACATTTAATCTTATTATTAATCGTCTGAAATATTTAATACGCAACATTACACCAAACACTTACCTATATAAAATAAAAAGACGGTCATATTTTTCTAAATCAATCAATATTATGTTTTAAAAAATATAGGGCACCGTTTTATTGTTTGTTCGGGAAATACTTTTGTGTGTTAAAGCTAGATTGATATTTTCAATTTTTTCAAATTATTACATGATATTTTTTATCCACTAATTGAAAATATCACATAAGAATAATTCCTGAGTATAAATAAAACGGCCCCCTAACGCGTGTATTTATTTTGAAAAAAAAATGTAAATGTAAATAAATATAACTGGTTATATTATTTAATTTTGTTTTTGTAGATATAAGTTGTGTTTCATTTAAACTGTATGTATGGTGAATTGAATAAAATTTAGTAAAACGCATTTTATTGCCATTTTATTTAAACAAAAATTAACCATTAATAACAACCTAAAGTTCCCCATCCCCCCTCGAATATTTGGCGTTCTTTTTATCCTTCCAACCGTATGAGGGAGGTTTGGCATCAGAGCAATAGCACGCCACTTTTTGGGCTTCCAAATAGGACTTGCAGCCCAGTGTGAGTGTCCCAGTGAAGAGCATTTTAGCTGCACCTTTACAAGCTAAAAAATATTTATTAAAAGAAAAACATACTATAAATTATAGTTAAAATACCTTTCATTATTGTAGGCCCGCCCAGACTCTTTTCGTACGTATCGCAATATTTATAAAGGCATCTTTTAAAGTCCACATCGCAAGTCTCCTTATTTTTATTGCAAGTATCGTAGCAAATGTCATGCAAATCGCAACATTTCGTCATCTCTTTAACCGGTAGATATTCCGAGTTGATGTTGAGTCCCAGAGAACCGCAACCGTCAGCTTTTGGCACGTGATTTCTGTTTGGTTTTGGGGGAAAACCTTAAAAAAAAACTTAAATGAGTTTTATATTTCAATTTTGTGGTAAAAATTGCAGGTAAAAACTAAACAACTTTGGTTCAGTAAAGTTCATTTTTTTATCAAGGACTGCGGCAACGTTGCAAATTTGGTTGGTAAATACGGAACCAAAGTTGGTAACATTGATTAAAACAAACTAAACTAGTTATAAATGTAATTGTGGTTATGTTTAAATGATTCTAAGTTACATTGAACGTTTGTCAAGTTGAGTCGTCAAAATTCGTAGTTAAAAATGCTATTAATTTGGCTTTGGTGGTGCGTAGATGAGTAAACTCATACAAAAAGTAGTTAAATATAGGTGACTACGGCCCAGGAGAGACAAAGTATTCCTAGCGGATAATAATCTTCGCTTTAAAAGGAATTTATATAAAAAAAAAATTAAATTTTATTAAACACGTGGATGTTGTCCAATCATTGGACTCCAATGGTGAATGGGTATTTTGTTATTCTTTTTCAAACCAAATGGATGCTAATTTCAAAGACAGGAAAATTACCTACTAGATTTTTCACAAAAAGGTTGAACCTAACAGCAAAATTTTTATTTTTTGTTTTTTTATTTCCACTATTTTTTAAAATTTCAAAATATTTTGATCTGCATAGCTGAAAATAACGTGTGATTGAATATTTGTAAAACCAAAAACGTTACTTTTTTACTCCAAAAATGTCCATAAGTACTTTTTCTGCCATTGCGGCATTTGGCATAACTTCATCGAAATAAAGTTTTGCCCCAAAAAGTTCTTTAACTTTAGAATCTGATATTATTTTTGGCATAGTTATCTTTTTATATCGATATTATGTAATAATTAACAAGTAAATTATTAATTCAGCAGAAGTCCCATTTTTTAAATACTGGCTTCCAACTTCAAATAAATTGCGACAAAACGGCAAGTCTGGCAACGCCGTTTTAAACTACCGATGGACGTAAATGATTCATTTGAACTATTTGCTTATTTTTTGTAATTGCCCTGATTTTCTAAATACATAAATGCATAATTGCAGCGATAATTACACTTTGTACTATCATTAAACTATTTTTAGATTACAACGTTAAATACAAGGTAAAATATGAACAAAATCAAATATTACAAAATTGCTTTTTCTTACCATTTGGGCACTTAAAAATGCACTCTTCGTCCACCGCAGCATCAAAAACGTCGTGCAGATTTCTAAATTTCTGCGCCAAATTGATGACGTTCTTGAAAACGTCGCCGAAAACGCTTTCCGCCGATAGGACGGCATCCCTCAAGTTACCTAAAATACCCGAACCATAACCGGAGTAAATGTACCCGACAAAAGTTAGTAAATAAATCGTCAATTTTCCATAGGGAATGTTCATTTTTAACGCGCACTCTCTACACGTAAAATTCGAGCTTTCACTGATTTTTGAGGTTATGTTGATGTTGTTATTTTTAGAAAACACGTATACGTAGAGTTACGTCAGGGTGAGTTACGTGGTGGATTTTAATATGATGTTGAATCTAGGCTGACTATTTTTTGGCATTAATAGTGTCTGTTTAATATTGGATTGTGCTTTATAAAGGCTTTGTTCCAACCAGAATCAGACTAACCCGGATCGTGTTGGAACAAAGCTGTTTTTATTTTTTCTTGGGTTTGTCCGAGTCTTTGGGTTTATCTATGGACTCTCTGTGTTTAGATTTATCTTTGGACTCGTTGGTTTTGCTAGTAGACCCCTCATTTTTTGATTTATCAGTAGAATTCTTATTTTTGAATGTATCTTTAGATTCTTGATCCTTCTCAATGGATTTTCCAGTAGATTCTGCGTTTTTTAATACATCTTTAGACCCTTTGTCATTGGATTTATCCATGGACTCGATGGTTTTGCTAGTTGACCCCCCATTTTTCAAATTATCAGTAGAAGTCCTAGTTTTTGATGTATCTTTATGACCTATAGGTTCTTTATCCTTGGACTCTTTGTCATTGGATAAATCCACAGGTTTTTTGTTTTTAGGAGCCCAAGCACATTCAAGTACAGGACCCTGGTCTTTCGGTAAATCTATAGAGTCTTTGTCTATGGTTTTATCGCAAAGTGGTTGTAGCATCCCTTTATGGTGAATATACTGGATATCAGACCCTCCACCAATAAAAGTACCATTTATAAAAACTCTTGGTACCTAAAATTGGCTTTTAAATCATAGATAAGTACAGCATAGAAAAAATACAGTTCTGGCTCCAGTAATGCTTTCCAAAAATAACTGAATTTCCATCATATCATCTCTTAAATTTAGCTCTATGGTGGTATAACTTTGATTTATCTCATCAAAAGCCTGTAAACTGAAATTTGGATTCCTGAAATTTTTTATAATTTATTTTACCATTTTTGCCATTTGGCTGTATGGGCAGTACGATTTGGAAAATATCACAATTTTGTCGCTTTTAATCATATCATTAACAAGTTGTTCTATTTGTTTTAAATTTGGGTCTTCTTCTTTGGTCAGTTCATTTTGTTTTTGAGGTTTTGTTACTTCATTGAACACTACCATTAAGAATTTTTATTTTTTCTTACCTAAAGTTCATTTTAATTTGAACTCTGGTGTCAAATTGACATATTTGATTTTAAGTTGGTATTATACGAGTATATTTTTCTTAATGTTGGTAGTAGTAGTAGTTGTCATGACACTTTTGACAGCTGTTGTCATATTGGCTTAACATAACCTAATATGTATTATGAAATACGAAGTGACTAGGTGCACGTTAGAGTGCGTATAAAATACGCTGTGCAATTTTATTATTCTCACGCGGTGACGTCACCAAAGGTAACATAACCTAAGATTCTTTCAAGAATCTAATTTGTTCTGTGAATCTAATTTTCGCGGTTTTGAGGTTTTTTAAACGTTGGCAGATTTGTGAAATCTGCCCTGTTACAAGTGTACGTAAAATGTATTGCCATGGCCAAAAACAACAATAATGATGAGTTAAAACTAACTATTGGAAAATCGTTCATTTCATATGAAGAACTGTGTAAGTTTATGCGTGATTATGGAGCTAAAAAGAAACAAGCTTTTTGGAAGAGAAGTAGTCGAAAAATAGAGGCAAGCCAAGGTATCAAAAGGGTTATTAAAGTGGAACTTATCTACTATGAAATAACCTATGCCTGCATCCATGGAGGGCAAAAATTCTCTTCCAAAAGTAAAGGGCTACGAAAAAAAAAGTAGGTAAATAATGCAATCATGTCATAACTGCTAAAATTTAATTTTTAGAACATTAAGGTTTGAACAACCATGTCAGGCATTTCTTAAAATACGTGCATCGTCAGATGGAACAAAACTTGAAATTAAAAGTTTCAGTGAAGATCATCTTCATAGTGAAGCACCAGAGGTTTCAATTCACTAATTCCCTAAATCATAAATCTAATTTTAATTTTTTTAGAAAACCTATAAGCTCCTGCCTCAAAATAGAAAACTTAACTGTTCTGAACAAGAAAAATTGTTGTCATTTGTGAAGGTAAAGGGCAACAAAAAAAACATTCAAGTTTGTAAAGGGAAAGCGAATATATCATTAACTGAAAAACGAAAGGTAGCCTTATCAGTAAATTCTTCTTTAACAAATTTGATGGTGTATGCGTCCGATAATGAATTTTTTACTCGTGTCAATACACTTAAAGAAATAGAAAATTTATGGAGGCAGGGCATTGAAGTATGTGTAACCCCAATTGCACCTTTAAGGGAATGCAACTAAAGAGGACAATATTACAAATATGAGCGATAAACTGGTTTTTTCTAAAATTAATGACATTAAGAAAGAAAATATTGAGGGGGATACTGAGCAAGCAACTTTTCTCCCAGACAGCTTAAACCAAACGCTTGATAACAATACCTTTAATATGAGTTTTGTGAGTTGTAATCCTCAAGAAATTGATAAGATGGACACTGCTCCCTATTGTAAATGACCAATAGAAACCAATAAAAAATAATTAATTGGTTTAAATTGGTTTGAAATGTGTTTTGGCGCTATGAATCACCAATTCATTCCAGTTGAATTCCTATTGGTAATTTCCAATGAAGTCAGCGGCTTGAATTGGAAAATACCAATCCATGCCTATGCTTGTCTCTATTGGCTAAATCCAATAAATGCACATGGAATGAATTGGTAATTCATAGCACCAAACCCATTCCAACCAATTTAAACCAATTAATTTTTTTAAATTTGGATTAGAAAATACCTACCAGTTTATTTTTCATTCAAAAATAATTTTAGATCCCAGAAGGATAACCGGGTAAAAACCAGAATTAATTTTTTACAGAAGAGACAAAAAATTTATTGTTACTGAGTAATTTTATTTCTTTATTATTTTTTTTGTGATATATGTATGTTTTAATACATATAACTTACTATCGCCTAAATCCCTAAATCTTACACATATATACATTTTTTTAATATATACTGTCCGTTCAGGCTAAGTTGAGCGGTCTTAGGAATGTCACCCCGTCCATCATCTTTATGTTCAGGCAAAATTAAATACATGTACTTCGGTAGCCGCTCTGTACTAACAAACGGCAAGCCGCTGCACTGATAAATCATCTTCTTGTTACCGAAATCTCGCGACGATTCGATAATTAATTTAATCAACGGCCACATTATCTCCCACCAAAGCGCTCAACTTAGCCTGAACGGACTGTAAGTACACTACTAACACTAGGCACTTAAGACTGAAATCGACTAATAACATAAACCGCTAATAAATGGCGTCCAAAGACTTGTTGTTTTTTCTTTATGATGGCGTCTTAACCTCGTTGATTTTGCGCAGCTACACGAGAGCCCTCTTGCGATATTTGTATTTTATTGGGAATAACCAATTAGCAGATTTTTCGAATCTTACACTACCAAAAGGCTTTAATCTGTATTTATATATACGAAGTTAACGTGAGAATAAAATTAAAATCTTTTGACGTTAGCGTGAGAATAAAAATTAAATTGCGTTCACGTTAGCGTCAGAATAAGAATAAAATTGCGTTCACGCTAGCGTGAGACTAGACACAGCGTATAAAATATTGTATTTGTGATTAAAAAACGTTTATTGGACAAATATGAAGAACAAATATAATCAAAACCTGTATCAAGGTAAGTTTATTAAAAAAAAAGGTTAAAATCAAACAAATTTATTAAGAGTCTCAATAAAAAAGCTTTAACATTAATTAAGGAACGGCATCTCATATTTAATACTTATGAAACAATTTTCTGTAATTCTCCTTTTTCGAGTAAGGCTTTAACATCAGAACCACCTCCCAGGCAGTCTCCTTTAACAAAAACCCTTGGGACCTAAAAGTTACTATGCAATACTTTAAAACCTTAAAAAACATGAAACTTACAGTTCTTGCCCCGGTTAAGTCGCCCAGTATTCCTTGGATTTCATCGCCATCGTCCCTCTCATCAAGTTCTATGAGGGTGTATTTCTCCTTTATTTTGTCGAATACCTATGTAATGCAAGGTTATTAAAATTATCTATTTGGTTGTACGATTTACTTACTTCCTTGGCCATTGTGCAGTAGGGGCAGTAGGATTTTGAGAATATTACGATCTTGTCGCTTTTAATAACACTTTGAACGTAATCTTTCTTTTCCCCGCTCATTTTTACTGGTTTCGATGTTCTGGAATTCAAGACAATAATCAGACTGAATGGTGAACATGTAGAGATAACATTAAAGATAAGGTTGTGGTTAAAATACTTGAAAACAAGAATCACGCGTTATTTTTAAGCGTTATTTACTTACCTACCTCAGTTTTGAGTACAATGATTTAAGTAGATTAGCAATGACGGTAGAAATTCTATGAAACAACAGCGAGAAATGCTTTTATTTGCAAAAAAAATTCCCAAGGTCATTGGAAATCGATATTTTTAAATTTTTGATTAATATTAATATAATTACCTGAAACCAAACATTTGGTCGAATATGCTTTTAAGGAAATCCATTTTGATGATTTATTTATACTAGAATTTGTTAAAAAAGATTAATTATTTAGTAATTTTAAAGTTCGACATCTGTCAGTTGGTAGAAATAAGTGAGTTGATATTACAGGTATCTTTAATACAAAGGCTGAGTTTGCAACTTTGACAAGTAGAGGACGATGTTTTTTTCACATACTTTTTATTTAAAACACATGACCCAGAGACAATTCAAATATCTCTAATTAAATAATAATGTTAAAATTAATTATTATTAATATTAATAAAATAATTATTTTAACTTTAAAAGTAAAGTAAAGAATATCATCATCAACTTTGTATTAACTTATTTGATAAATCGCAAGTTAAAAAAAATAACAAAAAGGAAAGGTAGGTCTTTTTGTCCCACACAAAAAATGAACATTTCTCCTGAGCCTAAAAAACCAAAACACTGACAGTGAAAAAATAAAATTAAGGTCATTTCACAATATGATGCGTTGCCATGGAATTTCTACAAAAGTTTGTGTTGTCCCACCTCTAATCATTCTGCTAGAGCAGGCCTGTGATTGGCTTCTTTATTTTATTAATAACCAATTGGTGCTGATCGGCAACAGCAAAGACTATAAGACTTAAAAAACGAAATAAAACAAATTTATTATGGTTGTGGATAAATTTATTTTGGATAAATTCTTCCTTATGCACTTTATAATATTGGCAGTTTATTTATAGTACAAATATGTATTTCTTAAACAGGCCTTAATAAAGTTGCATCCAACTTGTAGGTTTGTTTTTTCCTATTCAATGAAACCTTGACGTGGGTGAAAAGTTCAATTATAAGCGAAATTTCTTGATAGTCTTTTGTTTTGGGGTACTTAATGGTGACTTTATACATGGTCATGTCATTGGAAGACTCCTCTTTGCTTGTGTTGATTTTAATGGGTTCTGCAGTCCACTCTGAACCATCTGGGAGAGTCTGGAAGAAAAAATGCCATGGAACAAACCTCAAAAAGGTTTGTTCCAAAGAAAACTTACATTTTTGTATATCCGTACGATACTTCCGGTTTTGGTGACGATCGCATCGAAAGATTTGTCTTTTACATCGACTACAACCGCGTCTTCAATGAACGGCTGGTGTTTTTCTATGTAGCAGGCCAAATATAACTCCGAGCTGGATTCTCCCGCTCTTTTGGCGTTGTATTTTTGGCCGTTGCAGTTGGCGGCAATGCCGGCGACGTAGTCCACGTCCCATTGGGGGGAATCGCAGTATCCTTAAGAGATTCCTATTAGATTACCTCGTTACCGCAAGTTTTAACTCTTTAGCTTACCGAGAGATGCCGCTAGAAGTCTGTGTACCATTATGTCGGCGTATCTTCTTATCGGGGAGGTGAAATGGGTGTACAAAGGCACGCTCAGGGCAAAATGCCGGTAATCTTCCCCCTCGCTGGCGCAAAAATACCTAGCTCTCGTCATGGGTTTGGAAAACAGGTGGTAGAGCACTGCGCACCTATCGAATCCCGCTTCATCTTCACCGATGTATTTTTTTAGCGAAGAACTTATGCTGCCGGCGTTGGAAATGTCGATGAAAATACCGTAAACCTCCAAGTTTTTCTGCAGTTTATCCATCATGGTTTGTTTTGGAGGTTCGTGGCATCTTAGAAAAGCCACGTCGGGAAAATCGCCGTTGATTTTCTCGGCCACGGAAATATTCGCGAGCAACATGAACTCCTCAATTAATCTGTGCGCCTCCTTATTTTCGTATATAAAGAACGTTTGCGGGTCGCCATTGGCGGGATCGAGTTTAAAGGAGAGCTTAACTTGATTGATTTTAAGGGCGCCATTTTGAATGCGTTTTTGTTTGAGTTGGATTGCGATTTTCTGCAGAATATTCACAGTTCTGCTGAGATCTTTGCTAGTAAAATTGTTGTGGATTGTTGGCAATTCGCCATCTTTGAATTCGCGGTCTGGGTCCTCAATCATCATCTAAGAAGGCGGTTTTTTTGATGATGAGAAAACAAATTGATATAATTTTAACTCACCTGGGCATGTTCATAAGCCAGCTGTACAGAGGAATTAATTACAGTCCTAGCAAAACTTGTATGAACAATTTCAGATTCCGGTGTCATTTCCCAAAACACGGAAAAGGCGCATTTATCGGTTCCTGGCAGTAAGGAACAATGAAAACACATTTCCTTAGGCAACATATGGTAAACATTGTTCACCATGTATATTGTGGTAGCTTTTTTTGCCACCGAAACGTCCAGAGGGGAACCGTCTTTGAGGTAGTAGGCTACATCCGAAATGTGGACGCCTATTTTGTAGTTACCTAAGAGAAAAATGTTCAAAAGTTTCACTATGGCGGTATCTATTAATTTAGAAGATTTTTCAGTCAAACAAAAAGTATTCTTTGAAGAAATGTTTACTGAACAATTTTACGAAAAAAAATCATAAATTGGTGATCGCATTTTGACCACAGACGACACTAAAGTAAAGACTTTTTATAAAAAATCTGTTTACATGTTTGAATATGATGATATCTTATTTAATTTAGAAGATTTTTTGTTCAAACAAAAAGTAATCTTTGAAGAAATGTTCACTGTACAATTTAGCGAAAGAAAATCACAAATTGGTGATTACATTTTCACCACAGATGACACCAAAGTTAAAACATTTTTTTATTTTGGTTTTTATTAAAATCTGTTTACTTGTTTAAATATGATGATATCTTATTTAATTTAAAAGATTTTTTGGTCAAACAAAAAGTATTCTTTGAAACTGAACAATTTAAATATGATGATACCTTATTTAATTTAGAAAATTTTTTGGTCAAACAAAAAGTAATCTTTGAAGAAATGTTCACTGAACAATTTGGTGAAAGAAAATCATAAATTGGTGATCGCATTTTAAAAAATATACTTACCATTTGGTAACTCTTCCACTGAAACGGCATCATCCAAATCCCTGGCTGTTAAAGGGTCAATAGTAAAAATGCAGTCCTTCCTTAGATCCAAACGGTATTCAAACTCTTTATCATCAATGTTTTTGGGTAAATTCATACTTTCAACTAATTTTGGATTGTGTGGGTATGGATCCAAATTGTACTCCTTCAAAATGGACAACTCCTCCACTTTTAAATCTCCCTCCAAACCTATGTTCTCCCTAACTATCCCCAAGGCATATTTAGGGATTTCCCATTGTAGTATTTCAACCATGAAGAGGTTTTTTTCGTACATTTTGGGTTTTTCATTGAAGCCTTTTGGCCATGTTTCCTTATGTACACGGATAAAAGGAAGTCTTCTATCCCTGGGATAAAAAATCGCGAAATCCTTTCTGTTACTGCGTCGGTTTTTTGAATCAGGTGTGACGTTTTTGGGTTCTGGCATTTTTAGGTGACCAATGGCCAAACGAGTGTGAACTTTTTTAGCAATGAACACCACTCTACAAGTAGCCCTACCATCAACCCATTGGTTCCTTGGTTTTATCTCCAAAACAACTTCATCTCCCTCCAAAGCCCGATTTCTATCAGCCACACTTACAATGTAGTAGTCATTTAAGCTGGTGTTTTTGTTGCTTACGTATGCTTCATGACCCATTTTGGGGTTTATCCTTATACTACCTTGAACCAAAGTGTTACTTTCTAAACCGGTTTTGACTTGTTCTGGTGTGTAATATGGGGTGAATCTCTCATTTATATCTGTTTGTCTTTTTTGTGGAGATGAATTGTTCTGGCTTGTACCTGGTTCATTTTGTTTTTTACTTGGTGTTTGTTTGTTATCTTTATTATAAAACTTACGATTTCTCATTTTATCAATATTATTGTCATTGACGGATAATTTTTGGAGGGATCTAACTAGTTTATTGGTTATAAACACACATGGGGTGCTGTCGATTTTGAATGTTTTCAATTGAATTTTCCTTCTGGTTTCATTGCGTTTTCTTATGAAATGTCCAGATGTCTGACTTGATATTGCTTTGATGGTTAGTTGGCATTCAAAATCTATTAAGTCCAAGTCTTGTGCAATATGTTGTTTGTTGTGAATTTCTCGAGTTGGTTCACTTTTTTTTCTTGGTTTTCTACGTGTTCTTTTAACACTACCAGGTTGTTCTATGTGAAAAATTTTCTTCTCTCCTGTTGAAACGGACCCAATCTCTGATAAAATCTTATTTTTCCTTAATTCATTCCTTTTCTCCTTACGTGCACTCCGTCTATTTGGGTTTAACCCCTTTTTTTCTACGTTAGGTCCACCCTCCATTTTTTTAAATTTAATAACTTATACTTTATAAATGAAACGATTTATTATCACATTCTTAGAATAAAATACGCGAATATTATTTATTTAAAACACTACTTTAATCACAATATTTTGTTGGGTAGCATTGTGCAACTCAGATAAAGAAGGTGCAACTGTCAAAATAGGAGAATAGGTTAAGTACCCAGCCACAAAAAGTTTCACTATTTATAGACAATACAAAAAAAAATTATCTATGCATTATCAATGTTAGCTTAAGATAGTAATTTTATTTATAAACAATAAGTATTTTATCTTTATTTTATAATTATTTTTATTAAACAGTGGGGCCAACTTTTTTATCGCTAACCTTAAATCCTGTTTTGGTTCAAAATTACCGCCACTTCTATTGGTAACACTGCAGAATTTGATTTGATTAAATTCTGTATTGTAGATAAATATTTAAATGTAATAACGACATTAATTTTAAAAATTTCATTAATAATGATGATAAAATTACGTAAAGTTTGTATTTTTCCGAATTTGTTATTCCACTTGGGAGGTTGCGCACGCGCTTCGCCTAATTAATTCATCAGCTGTTTGGTATAGAAAATGGCAGAAACTTAGTGTTTGTATACGGAACAAGTAGTGAAGGTCGGCTTTGTTAGTAAAGTAATAAGAAGTTTAGAAGCTTTAAAACACAATTAACAGCGTTTAGTGGGCAGCCCGTCGTAGTGTTGCATTTAACGATCGTAATCAATTAACAGGACTCATGAATAACACAAATTCTTCGGATTCGAATGGCAGTAGGAATTACTTTGTAAATTTTAACCAGGATATCACGTAAGTTGTGTGTTTTGCTGCGGATTTTTGCATTTTCTCGTTGACAGCTATCGCGGTTGCGAAATTTACATGTTGTAACGTCGATTAACGTAGTTTAAGAACAAAGAGTTGTCTTTTTTGTATCTGTCATTATTTTTGGGTGTTCCAAAAGAGAAAGGCTGCATTTCAATGCCAATACATGAAAAACTACACTATTTACCTATATATTGCATAAACGATAAACAATTATTCCTTTTTGGAAGTAGGTCAGTTAAAATAAATATAAACAAACCTCCAAAAAAATGACAAGAATGATAATTGTTTCTATGACAACAGATAACAATCCATAGACCACTATAAGAATGCTAAATTTTTATTTCGTTTAAATTTAATAATAAAACCTTGAAAATCGTTATGTTTTTAAACCAATTTTTGTTTTTATTTTTTTTAGTAAGTAAGTAACCTTTTAAAACTGTTGTTTTGTATGTTTAATATATTTATCAAAATAATGATTTTTTTGTTTACCAATGATTCTCACAAATAATATATATTTTGTTTATAAACAAAGGATACACACTATTTATTGTTTATCAAGTGGGTTTAAAGTTTTTTTTTTCTATTCTCTATCTAGGTGTATAAATAAAAAATTGTTTAATTTTGTTTGCATTTGGGACCTTGAAATTGCACACTAAAGTATACTGAAGTAGTCCATGGCAATGAAAATTTAAATGAATTAAACATACCCACCTAGTGTTTGTAATTTACGAATTTTGCTTGTGTTGTAATAAATAGTACATTTATAAAGGTCATTTTTATAAAATCGTAAATAATGTAATGATATGTATGTTTTAAAAAATAAAGAAGGTGTCTTCGACACGTGTAGAAGACGTAAACAATTTTTTTGCGTTGCGTTCTATTGCAAAATGTGATTCATAAAGATTAACTGTAGTTTATCAAAACAGGAAAACCTACCTATCAAATAATTTTTACGTGCGCATTATTAGTTTGATGTTTATTGCTGCTTTATATTTTGTATTTATTAATTACAAATTAATTATTTAGAGAAAATAAAATTAAACGCATATTTTTAATCCTTCCAAAATGATAATTTATTCATAACATTCAGTAATCAGACCTAAAAATCTAAACAAATGATTATAATATATATTAAGGAAGTGTCTACAGTCCCGTCATAATTTGACGTCACATACTGTAAAGCAGTATAAAGCCTGAATTATAGATTGCCTTCCTTCCTTTCTCCCGTAGAAGATGAACATTACGTAATTGTCACCATTAACATTTCCCGTGTAGGAATTTTTAATACTTTGTGATAATATTTTGCAATTATGGTAATAAAAAAAATCAAAGAATAAAATATTTTCTTGACAAAATCATATTTTGAAGTTATTTTAATAATAGTATCAATAATCAATCAATCAATAAATCAAATTAATAACGGGCAATGTGACAATTACGTCAAAAATGTTTATTTAAATCGTAGTGCCAGTTATAGATTTCCGTACCGTAAGGACGGCATTCCTTCCTCCCGTAGAAATTTTTAAGTTTTATCTTTCACCGTAAAGGTCTTTGACATGACCAATCACAGTGCTTGTTATGGACATGCGCTGTAGGGTGACAGCGCGTAGACACAAAATATTTAAAATACATGATTGTTTAGTAATATTTAAGATAGGTGTTCAGTTTATTAAATAATTTGTGTCTCTAAATAGGATATTTAGATATTGTTTATGGTCAATGTCCTTCATTTTTAGAAACGTTGCTTTGTAAAATTCTGTAGTTTCCCTGGCTTGGTAAAGTGGGCGAGTCTTCCAACGTCTTGTTCTATGTTTTCATTATACCTACTGCCCTACTATGGAGAAAGGCAGTAACTACAAATGCGTTTTCTTGTGCTATGAAGCTATGAGCATTTTGTATCTTAATTCAACAAAGAAATGCAGTAAACTATCTTTTAAGTTAAATAAATCAGTTAAATACCTACTGCTTTTTATAAAAATGTAATTTTTGCTTATTTCCCACAAATTTCTGGTTTAGCAGTTACTGCATTTCTCCATAGTTGGGAAGTAAACTACAAGCTGCCTGGGCAATTAAAATTGTGATCACTGCACTAATATATAAATGTTTATCTTTCATATTTACACACAATGGGTAAAACGCAGAATATAAACAAAAACAAATGTCAACCAATTTAGGTGTCATCGAGCATGGTTACGGAAATCTCTAAATTGACTTTTTACAAGACGCACAAATCGTACGGGCACGACTACGGGAGGAAGGAAGGCAATCTATAATTCAGGCTTAAGGGTTTAAAAATCCCTGAAGATATTAGGAGGGAAAACTTGGGGTCCTAACAATCCTCAAACAAGGTCTAAACCAGAAATGCAGTTTCCTTTTTGATCTTGTAGATCGTTGGCTGTGGGTTGCAAGAAGGGGTACAGACTGTTCTCGCTGAGCAATGTCGACACGCTGGAGGAGATCTACAGCAACGGCACCGAGGACTCCTGCCTGGTGGAGCGGCTGTTCAGCAGCAGCCTGGTGGCGGTGGTGTCCCTGGCCGCCCCCAGGAAGCTGAAGGTGTGCCACTTCAAGAAGGGCACGGAGATTTGCAACTACAGCTACTCGAACACGATCCTGGCGGTGAAGCTGAACAGGGCGCGGCTGGTGGTGTGCCTGGAGGAGGCGCTCTACATACACAACATCAGGGACATGAAGGTGCTGCACACGATACGGGACACGCCGCCGAATCCGAGCGGGCTCTGCGCGCTGACCATCAACAACACGGACAACTGCTATCTGGCGTATCCGGGCTCTTCGACCATAGGGGAAGTACAGATCTTCGATGCCAATAACCTGGTGAGTGCAAGCTTAAAGTAGAAACCACCAATATATGAACGTGACTCATCGGGTGCCGAACATATCTCAGACATGCTAGCAGTAATGTTTTACTTGTCTTGTACATTCGATGCAGCGGTAAATGTACTCACACGTAGGTTTTTAAGCATCCGGTCTAAAATGCGCCATCTGTGATGTAAAACTGCCTAGGAGTTGGACAAAGATGGACATATGACGCGTGTCCTAGCTTGTTACTTATTTTTGTTGGAATTCAGTAGAGTTCGTGTTTTAGGCAATTTATTTTAATTTATAACATAGTAAGGCAACCAACTCTACACTGAAACAAATTATTACATTTAAATGTAAAGTTACAGGATTATTACCACATAAATTTCTAATTTTTACGACAAATTGTAAAATTACCTTTATTTTCGTCTAATTTTTATATATTTCAAGTAAATAAACATTTTTGTTTGTAAAATTACTAATGTTATGTATTAATTATTGATACAACAAGTAAATTTAACGAACTAAATGTAAATATACGTTATTAGTCTTAATATTACAGGTTTAAATGTTTTTTTACATTCGGAGTGTAGTAAAAATCGCAAAATTACATTTCATATGTACCTGATCTGCGTAAACATTTTTGTTTTTTGTCACCAATTCTGAAATATTTGCGTTTAAAGTTAAAAGAAAAGTTTATTTATTAATTAGTTTCTAAGAAAATTACATTTTATTTAATTATCGTAGATGTTAATTGTTAAAATTTAACTTTTAAAGCTAATATATCAGAAGTATAGCAACCCACATTACACTCAAGATTTTTTACAAAGAACAGCACTGCACTGGACCGTGACCTTCGATGGATTGCTTCGTACGATTGTGCCTGATGAGTCACGTTCATATATTCGTGGTTTCTACTGTACATTTATTTGTACGTAGATTTTTTTTGTTGGTTTCTGTACAAAATTGTGGTTTCTTTGCGTTTCGATATTTTTTCACTAATTTCGATCAATTTTTTTACTGAAATTGCTACTTTTTGATATTGTTTTCACTAAAATTTTGGAATTTTAATTTAAGTTGGGTTGGGTTAATTCTTTTTACTTAAATTTTAATTTAATTTTCTGTTCCTTACTTTTTTTTAATTTTTTTTTCTGAAGTTGATGCCTTTTGTTCTTTGGATTTTTTTTTAATAAAATTGGAATTTAGTTTGTATACTTGTTAACTAAATTTTATGTTTTTTGAATTTTTTTCCCCTAAAATTTTGGAATTTTTTTTATTTATTTTTACTTAAATTGTAATTTAAACTTTTAATTTTTCTACTAGAATTATTTTTTTTACTGATATTGTTCCTGTTTGTTTTTTGGCATTTTTTTACTAAAATCTGAATTTTATGTTTTTTGAATATTTTTTCCCTAAAATTTTGGAATTTTTGTTGTTGCTTTGATTTGTTATTGAAATTGGGGTTTTTTATTTCTATTTACTTAAATTGTAATTTAAACTTGTTTTTTAATGAAATTAATATTATATTTTTTTACTACAATCTGAACTGAAAGTTTTATGTTTTTTTGGCTAAAATTGGTATTTTTTTTTTCGAATATTTTTTTTTCGGAAAATTTTGAAATTTTTTTTATTGAAATTGGGATTTTTTTATTTCTTTTCACTTGTAATTTAAACTTTTGTTTTTTATTTTTTTTACTTTTTAATTATTTTAAAATTATTTTTTATACTAATATTGGTGCTTTTTGATATATATATATTTACTAAAATCGGAATATAGTTTTTTATTCTTTTTAACCAAAATTGAAAATTTATGTTTTTTGAAAATTTTTTGTTCACAAAAATTGTGGAATTTTTGTTTTTTATATTTAAATTTTAAATTTTTGTTTTTGGTTTGATTTTTTTTATTGAAATTAGGGTTTTTTATTTATTTTTTCTTAAATTGTAATTTAAACTTTTTTTTTATTTTTTTCCACTAAAATTATATAGTATTTTTACCGATATTTGTGTTTTATGCTTTTTGTTTTTTTTACCAAAATCGGAATTATGCTTTTTAACTAAAATTAGAATTTTTGTTTTTTATCCTTTTTAAATAAAATTGGAATTTGTTGTTTTTTATTAAATTAGGGTTTTTAATTTCTTTTTACTTAAATTGTGATTTAAACTTTTGTATTTTAATTTTTTTCACTAAAATTATTTTTTATTGATACTGCTATTTGTTTTTTGATATTTTTTTAATAAAATTGGAATTTAGTTTGTTATGCTTTTTAGCTAAAATTGGAATTTTGTGTTTTTTGAATATTTTTTTCCCTAAAATTTTGGAATTTTTGTTTTTGCATTGATTTTTTATTTCTTTTTACTTAAATTGTAATTTAAACTTTTTTTTTACGAAAATTAATTTTTTTCACTTAAATTTGTGCTTTCAAAACTGAAACTGGAATTTTTTACTTAATTTTAATGTTTCTTTACGGCCATTCCAAGCCCATGGACAGGACACATCAGAAACATGTCTAAATATATATTTGTTACTTCCTTAAGTTTACTTATTTTTTCCAGGAGTATTTATGAGAAGTATTAGCCAAAATTGGCTAATACTTCTCATAAATACTCGTAGAAAAAATAAGTAAACTTAAGGAAGTAACAAGAATATATTTAGACATGTTTCTGATGTGTCCTGTCCATGGGCTTGGAATGGCCGTTTACTAAAATTGATATTTTTGATTATTAAATTTGTTTCCCTTAAATTATGAAATTTTTGGTTTTTACTTTGATTTTTTTATTAAAATTAATTTTTTTTTATTTTTTACCAGAAGTTTAACTTTTTTTGTTAATTTTTTCATCAAAATCGGAATTTTGTTTTTTTGTTGGTAAAATTGTTGTTTTGTGCCCGGGGGTCAACCACCCAAAGGGAAAACGTCCAGGGATTCCCATGTATTCCCGTTATATTTTATTGTATTCCTATGTATTTCCATTGTATTCCTATGGTATTCCCACTCTAAAATGTCCAGGGATTCCCAGGTGTGGGTGACCCCTCGTTTGTGCCATTATTTTTTTCCTTACAACCAATCATGGCATAAACCAAGTATTGTTTGGCAAGCTAGACAAAATGAACCAAAAAAAAAGTCTCGTCTCAGACAATACAATTCATTTATCTCGTTGCCAGCACGCCAAAACCATGATCCCGGCGCACGACAGTCCCCTGGCCGCGCTCGCCTTCAGCCCGAACGGCAGCCGCATGGCGACCGCATCGGAAAAGGGCACCGTCATCAGGGTGTTCAGCGTGACCGACGGCTCCAAGCTGTACGAGTTCAGACGCGGCGTCAAGCGCTGCGTAGCCATATCCTGCCTCGCGTTCAGCATGTGCGGCCAGTACCTCAGCTGCAGCAGCAACACCGAGACGGTGCACGTCTTCAAGCTCGAAGAGCCCAAAGACAGGTAGGTACTACGCTGCACACCTCAAAGCCCCACCACGTGACCACGTACGGAACGCAGTCTTTTGAAAATTTGCCATTTAAGGCTTTTCAGGTTATGTATCTGTCAAAGTATAGTCAACGAAAGAAATAATATTATGTTTAGGCGTTAAAATGTATAAATCTTTACAACATTACAATAACAATGGATGGTTCAAGAATTTAAGAATATAAATACTGCATTTAATGAAATTCTAAAGTGTATGGTGCCAAATAAGTAATATTTTTGTGCATTTGGTCCAAATATCTGGTTTTCTCCATAAAATAATTTTAACTAAACAGCATTTATTAAAAAAAATCTAGCTTCTCTATTATGGATTAAGAATATCTGTATTAAAGGTAGGTTAATATATTATAACAAAAATATCATCTAATTTTGTAATTTTAAGGTTAGAAAAAATTATTTTGACCAAAATAAATAAGTATTTTGGATTATTAAGACAGTATAATATGGTATTTAAAAATGTGGTAGTTTTTCTTATCCAGCTTAAAGTGTACCTACATAAAGTTTTGTCAATACAAATAGTTAAAAAGCTTTGACTGAATTTGATCTACATCAAAAAATCATTATAATTTTAATATTTTAATAAATCACATGTCATGGGAGTATTAAATATTTTCACATTGCAAGTTTCTCTAAAAATTGTTTGTTTTCTTATAATCTAACTTAAAGTAGGTATGCCGAGAGGTGTGCACAAGTTTTGTCGTTAGAAGTATAATTTAATTTGAACCATATTCAACAATTATTTAGTATACCTATATTTATTTATGACCATATTAACACACTCTTCCAAATAATCCACTTATTTATTTTGGTCAAAATAGATTTTTCTAACCTTAAAATACAAAATTAGATGATATTTTTTGTTCTAATACATTAACCTACCTTTGATACAGATATTCTTATTTCATAATAGAGTTTTTTTTAATAAATCCTGTTTAGTTAAAAGTTTTTTATGGAGAAATGTAGACCCAATGCACAAAAATATCACTTATATTGCACCTTACACTTTGGAATATCATTAAATGCAGTATTTATATTCCTAAATTCTTAAACCAACCATTGTTATTGTGATACTATAAAGATTTATACATTTTTAACGCCTAAACATAATATTATTTCTTTCGTTGACTATACTTTGACAGATACATAACCTGAAAAGCCTTGAATGCCAAATTTTCAAAAGACTGCGTTCCGCACGTGGTCACGTGGTGGGACTTTGAGGTGTGGAGCATAGTCGTTTCGTTGAATGTCGGGAAATTACGAGTGTTGTTTCAGCCCGCGACGAAGCGTAGACGAGGGAAGTTGGATGGGTTACCTGACCAACTATCTGCCGACGCAAGTGACGGACGTTTTCAACCAGGGCCGCGCCTTCGCGACCGCCCATCTGCCCATCTACGGCGTGCGAAACGTCATATCGATAGTAACGTAAGTTGAATCGTCGTTGAAGGTGAAAATTGGAAAATCACGCTTTAAACCGTTTAGAATCCAAAATCAGCTGAGGTTGCTGATCGCGACGGAAGATGGCGCAAAATTTCAAAATTTTGGAAATAATATTTTAAAATTTTTAATTCTTCAAAATAAATAGTGCAAAATAACTTTCTAAAGATTTTTAAGTTTTTGGAAATTTAGCAACTCCGCTAAAAATATAAATTTGACAACCTCGCAAAAAATTACCACCTTCTGGGCATTGTGGATATTTGTCAATACCGAAAAAAAATCTCAAAAAAAATTTTGAAAAATTAAAAATTTTGCCAAATTTTCAAACCATATTTTATTTGTAAGTTATAAGTTTTAAAAATTCTGAAATTCTAAATTTTGGAAATATTAGGTCTCTAAAAACTCTATTATTTTAAAAATTTTAATTGTTCAAAATAAATAGTGCAAAATAACTTTCTAAAGGTTTTGAAATCTTTTGGAAATTTGGCAACACCTCAAAAAAAAGTAAATTTGACAACGTCGCAAAAAGTTACCAGCTTCTGACTAAATTAAAAATTCTAAAAAACTTTGTAAATCATTTCCGCAAAGTTTTTGTTTTCTTCGGTGCTCAAGCAAAATATTTATCTGCATATAGAAAAAAAAATTCTCAACAAGTTTGAGCTCTTAATATAAATTTTAAGTACTTACTATTTAAATTTAAAGTTTTACCGTTTAAAATGCATGTAAAAAATATATATTTCTTTTCAAATTTCTAATGCTTACCCACCTTTGACAATATTGCAAATCGGTTTAATACACCTTATGGGGAATTTCACGCTCTTTAAAATTGCTTTTGAGTTTTTTTTTGTAACTCGCATTGGTTTACCAGTAGGAGTCGTCAAAGGACAGTTTTTGAAAAAAATCGTTTTTTTTTTAAATTTTTTTCTAACAAACCGCAAAAAGTAGGGAGAAAAAAGGGCTGAATCATAAAAAAAAGTTATCCAACCAATATTTAATGAATTTACAGCCATTTTTATAACTGAAAACGTAAGAAATTGATAATTACCAACTCATAATGTTATTATAATGTTATTTAGATTGATTTTTTCTATTTATTATCATTATATTTCCCTACACTAAGAAGTTTTTTAAAATTATTGATTTCTCACTTATAATGAATATGAAAACAGATAAATTCATAAAAAAACAATAAGAAATTTGTAACGTGGATTTTTACAATTTTTTAACATTTCTGTCATATAGCAAAAAAATATAAATGAAGATTATTTAATTTTTTGAAGCGAAATTTGAAATATGTTACAAAACCTTCTGTATATTCCGATTAAAGTTTTGTTGTTTTTTTATGAATTTATGTGTTGTTTTCATATTCATTATGAGTGAGATATCATAATAATTTTAAAAAAGTTCTTAGTATAGGGAAATATAATGATAATAAATGGAAAAAATCAATCTAAATAACATTATGGGTTGGTATTTATTAATTTCTTACGTTTTCAGTTGTAAAAATGGCAGTAAATTCATTAAATATTGGTTGGATAACTTTTTTTATAATTCAGCCCTTTTTCTCCCTACTTTTTGCGGTTTGTTAGAAAAAATTAAAAAAAACGATTTTTTTCAAAAACTGTCCTTTGACGACTCCTACTGGTGAACCAATGCGAGTTACAAAAAAACTCAAAAGCAATTTTAAAGAGCGTGAAATTCCCCATAAGGTGTATTAAACCGATTTGCAATATTGTCAAAGGTGGGTAAGCATTAGAAATTTGAAAATAAATATATATTTTTTACATGCATTTTAAACGGTAAAACTTTAAATTTAAATAGTAAGTGCTTAAAATTAATATTAAGAGCTCAAACTTGGTGAGAATGTTTTTTCCTATATGCAGATTAATATTTTGCTTGAGCACCGAAAAAAACAAAAACTTTGCGGAAATGAATCATCCTAATACCTAAGTCAAAAAACTTTATTCGCCGTTTAGAATCCAAAATCAGCTGAGGTTGCTGATCGCGACGGAAGATGGCGTTCTCTACGTCTACAACGTCGACAGCGCGGAGGGCGGGGACCTGACGCTCTACAAAAAGCATCGCATCGACGAGTTCGAAGCGGGGGCGGCGTCGGAAGTCGACGGCGCCCGATCCGAGCCGAAGAACATCGAAGCAGGAGGTAATAACTCACTTTGCTAGCGCTTGGTGTTTTTTGTTTTAACGCACAGGTCGACAAAATCGAACTTTCCGTTGCTGCAGGTTGGCAAAACGACTTTCCAGGGTAGTTTTGGCACGCCGAACACAAAAATGCTGAATCAGATCTTGTTTTCGACAATCGAGGATCCTGGATAATGTAGCTATGGGTTACCGACTAAAACCCCTCTCGGGTACCGTCAGTGTTACTTCGCGAGTTTCTTGCATTTTGTTGGCGTTGTTCTTCTCTTTCGTCTTCTTCTTTTGCTCTCATTATACTTTGAAGGTTGATTTGTGGGTTATAAAATAACCTTAAAATTGACATTTGACATCCCTGATAGAATAAGGTTTATTTTTTACAAAAGAGGAGTAAAATGATTGTTCTTACCACTTTTAGGTCTCTTTTAAGGCGAGTCTCTCTGTAAGAAACACAACGTTTAAAACGATTATTAATCTGTACAAACTCAAAGCACAAGAATTGTAAACAACAAAAATGGCCGCCATTAAATGATGTGCTGAAGTGTTGAAGTGATTTTTAGTATTTTTAGTGTGGATTGTGGGTGGTTCATTGTTTTCTTAAAAATGAATTGACACTGACATTTATTTGTTGTCATCAAATCTGTGTTTGTGGAAATTGTACTAAATTCTTTAATAAAATGGAAAAGGTGCAACTCTTGAGAAATTGCCATTTATTTAGAAATATGATACCAAGTCAAAGTTTTTAGAATTTAAAAATTTTGTAAAATGGAAAATTTTCAAACCATATTTTATTTGTAAGTTATAAGTTATAAAAATTCTGAAAAATTTGGAAAAAATTAGTAATTTTTGGAAATATTAGGTCTCGAAAAACTTTATTATTTCAATTTTTTTTAAAATAAAGTTCTAAAGGTTTTGAAGTCTTTTGGAAATTTGACATCGCCAAAAAATTTAAATTTGACAACGTCGCAAAAATTGTGAATTTGTAAGTTGTATTTTCCAATCATTTATACAATTAAGAAAGTGGCTCAGTCTTGAACTGTGCAGAAATTGGAACTCTTTCTCCACGGGTTGCTGTCGCTGGTTCATTGTTTTCTTAAAAATAAATTGACACTGACATTTGTCATCATTGACCCTGATATTTGTCATCATTGTCGAATCTGTGTTTGTGGGATTTGTACTTAATAAAATTGCCATTTCCATGAGCTGCATTACCAATGATCCTCAGTTAGAGCATTTGAACGGGAAAAATATATTTCTGCACTATCATTCACATTGTTTTTTGAAATCGGCGCACCAAAATTACCCTGTCGGCCAGTGTAATTATAAGATGACGTTTTTTTCGGTTTTAATCCAAAGATTTTTAGTACATAACAATAGTTAATTGTATAACTCCGAACTTTTTGAAGTCTTGCAACAATAAAAGGCATTTGAAAAAGTGAGATTGACTTATTTGGTCCTCTCGCGATAAAAGTGCCGACATTAACCCTCACATTTTGGTTCCTATCACTTTTTCTAAACAAAATTAATGTGTTGTTATATTTTAGTAAATAGAGATTCCGCAAGGACCTATTCTGGGGTTTATTAAACATTTGTTCAATTTTATTTATTTATTATTTGAAGACTTTGCGGTTAAAAGCTGTTAAGAGACGAAATTTTCTAAAAAAATAATTTTGTCACTTAACAGATTTTTCCATGAAGTCTTTTGCATGTTAAAAGGTGAAAGTAGTTTTTTACGAATGAAGCATCTCAGTGTGGAGATATTTTATTTTAAACTAATCGAAACCGGTAAGTATAGCAACTTTAGTAAACTAACAGTAGTTAGCGTTTTAAAACTAAAACACCTAAAGTAGTTTTTGATCGCTTAAAGTAAAATATTTCCATCGTATCGAAGATCGCTTTCGTTTTGCTTAATTATCCCCCAAAATTCGTCCTCCAAAAACCACACACACACACACCAAAATCCAAAAAGTAGCCGCCACAAATACCAAACCCGAAACCCATTGATTTTTTCTGTTGTTCCCCGCAAGGCTCTGCCAATCTAGGCAGCTACGCTGGCATCGTCAAGGGCAACCCAGCCGACCAAATGTCAGGTACGGGTCAGTATACAATAAATCATTTTTTGCAGGACCAAATTATCGTCGTCTCATTCTCGATTTGTTAGTTTTTGTATCTTGGTAAAACTTGCCTTAATAAATGTTAAAAAGTATGGATCTCTAAAAACGTGACCGCCTCACTTACCAGACTTGAAACCCATTGATTTAAAATTATGATACTACTACTACTATTTTAATGTACCTACATAATTTGGAAATTTTAAACAATTTTAAAAATGCAAAATTTTGGAAAATTTCAGAAATTTTGTCAAATTGTAAAAAAAGAAATTAGTAAAATTTTGTAAATTTTAAAAACTAACCAAAATGTTAGATGTTTTAATTTTAGATCTCAAAAAACTTGATTATTTCTATTTTTTTAAAATTTTTCAAAATAAATTTTGCAAAAAGATTTTTTTGGAAATTTGACAACACCGCAAAAAAACATAAAATGTAAATTCGACAACGTTGCAAAAAATGATTTAAAATCATGATACTAAGCCAGTTTTAAGAATTTTGGAAAATAGTAAAATTTTTTGAATTTATACTTTTTAAAAATAATAATTTACATAATTTAAAAATTTAATATTTAGGAAAATTTCAGAAATATTGGCAAATTGTAAAAAAAATTTATTACTTAAAAGTTTTAAGAAAATGGTAAAATTTTGTAAATTTTAAAAATTAAAAAAAAGTTCTGAAAAATTACCAGCTTCTGGGCATTTTCGAATTTTGGCAATACCAAAAGAGAAATATTAGAAGTTTTAAAAATTCTGAATAATTTTGGAAATTTTAAGTCTCGAAAAACTTAATTATTCCAAAAATTTTAATTTTTTAAAAATAAATAGTGTAAAATATCTTTCTAAAGATTTTGATTTTTTTTTAAATTTGGCAACGTCGCAAAAATTACCAGCTTCTTGGCAATTGCAAACTTGGCAATACCAAAAAAAATATAAAAAAATATTTGGCAAATTTTTAAGTTTTAAAAATTTGTAAATCTTGGAAATGATAGATCTCGATTTTTTTTTCAAAATAATTGTTTTTTTTTTTTTAAATGTCAATTTGACAACGTCACAAAAAATTACAGCAGTTTTATTTAACCTCACTTTTTTTTCAAGTTTAACTAAAGCAAACTTCAACCCGTGGTCGAAGTAAAATTTCGTCCACAAAAGTTACGAACTGAAATGTTGTGTGAAGTTTATGATACCAAGATCCAAAAATACAACTAAATTTTAACATTCCCCCAAACGATAATTTCGTTCTGTACTATTTTATTACATTTTATTTAATGACATAACTTTTACAAATTAAAAAATCGAATTTATATTTACTTACCTATACTATTTCATTGTACTTTACAGCATCTACAAACAAGCATTTTGTCGGTTGTCAAGTGACACAATTATTTATAAAAATAAAAATAAATATCACATATAATATACATAGATTGGTGGCGGTTCTTGTTGCATGTTTGGGAATAATTTATGTGATATTTATTTGCTGCTTTAATCCATGTATTCCATGTTTTCTTTAAAAGCTATTTTGCATTTAATAATGGCCAAAATAAAACGCAACCAAAGCGGTATATTTTATTATACATCTTTTACAATGAACTTAAAATGAAGCACACACAAAATATTTACCTCCATGGAGTCTTCATTTAACGCAACGTTCAGTAAGAGTCATCACAATGAACACTTTCGTATCACTGCATTAATTAAACGTTTAATGTGCAAACAGATAATTATTCAAAGTATGTTTATCGAGACTTACACGATAAACTATTTTAAGCCCGCTATAATGCATGCATTAATCTCGTAAATATATCCGGTTTTTATTTTAAAATCGCAATAGTCATAATATGCGTATTTTCTTAATTTTGCTTTGTAAGCGATTTGAATTATTTTAATTAGTAAACTTTGATACGATTGCATTTCGCACTAATTACTATTTTTTATGTTATGCTCTGTGTTGCTGCTAAACAATACTAAAACATATATTGTCTTGTGAAGGTTGTCATGTCATACAAAACTTTGAATATCAAATATCTTTTTTATTTTAAATAATTTTTAGGTGTTAATTACCGCATTTTAAACGCAAAATGGTTTTTTTATTGTAGAAAATGATATACAGGGTGTCGCCATTTTTTCTGACAAGTAGTTTTTGAGTTCTTTATGTTGTATGGTTGATTTTTTGCTGACTGAAATAAAACTAAATTGTCGAATAAAAATTTAATTGTTTTTTTCTGTTGTGTCGTAAAATATCTTATACAGCGTGTCCTAGGTCATAATCTAATACAGTTCATTTTTAATAACAGTTGCTATGGAAACAAATCGAAGTTACATTATGTTATATTAACTTCCAATGATTTTGCAGTTTTCATTGTTACCTGCATAAAAAAATTAGTTTCAATACAGATTTCTACAGGGTGTTATGTGATTAATGTCGATAAAAAAGCACCTGAAACTTTTTTTTCTAAATTGTAAAGACTAAAATTTATTTATATTAACCTTTATCCTGCCAAAAAGTACGCCACTGATTGACTAGTAACTTTGGGCTAATCTGGTTGACTATTTAATTTTTTATGTTATGGTTGGTAACAAGCAGCGTTTCAAACAAAATCTGGCAACTTTTATGACAGAATCTAGTGCATTTCTTTCAAATTTTAGGTTATGTGCTCAAATTGTAAATATCTTAACTAAGTGAAGTGCTTTTGGATTTATTTACAGTTGAATGTTTAACGTTTAACCTGTGAACTTGGCCTAATTTCATCTGAGTAAACAGAAAGAAAAAAACCGATGAAAAAATTAATTTTGTGGTTATGTTTTTAAAATAGTTATTAAATTTTCCAATCATTGCTTAAGCTAATAGCTGGATGAGTAAATAAATACAGAAGGGTATTAGAGCTTTAAGGGCATAAAACTTTTGTATTTATTGAGTTTTTATTTATTTATATCTATTTACTCACACAAGTGTGTAACCAGTGGCCTATCGCAAAAAATATAAAAAACTTCTAATGCATATTTTTCTTTACACCTTATGTCAAAAGTTATTCAGTATTTTAATATATTACATTAATTACATAACACCCTGTATAACCAATAAGTAAAAGCATCCTAAAATCGCCATTTTTGGGACACCCTGTATAAAAAATGATAATAAAAATTAATTTTTATTTCAGTTTTCACTCTTTGGTGTAATTTTAAATGTTTATAGCTTCGATATAATTAAAATGTTAGGCTTAATATGGCTTCTCTTAAACTAGCAACATTTCAAATGTCTTTATACAGTACGTTCCAAATTAACTTGTCGATGTTAGTTTGGACGTACGCGTGCACTTTGTCCATTTCGTCGAAGCTGATCAAAATTAACGAAACTGTTTTCTTAGAGTCGGATAGATTCCGCGAGATGGCGGCGGCGACGGAGTCCCCGCCCAGGGGGGCGTTTCAGTTCAGCGACGACCAGGAATACCCGCCGCTGACGCAGAACGCGGACTGAGGACCGCGCTGTCCCAGCCGCGGTCGGGTTCAGCTCATGTGCGTCGCGGTGTTTTTCATACATGTCGTCGTTAGAGCTATGGAGGACGCCGTCCTCTACCTCGTCAGTTTTTTCGCTTGAACTGACCAAAAAAAAAATTAAAAATGCTTTTATGTGTGAACTTTTTTGTGATAAAAAAAAACCGGCATTAACTTAACAAAAAAACATGTAAAATCTTGGAAAATACAAAAACTACTGACGAAATCATATCATTTATAGTTCTTAGTAAAATTACCCTGACTATTTGAATTTCGGTTGATTTATTATTTTAATGTTTATTACACATAAAAAACACTTAAAATTAATAAGGCTGAAATCCACGTTTGTAAAATTTAGTTCAATTATTATTGTAAATATTTCAAAATTCTTAGGGGTAACTAATGTAAGTATAGAGTGGCAGAACATTACTATTATAACTAGTTTAGATATGTGTAAGCTGTTAAAAAAATAATGTTTTTCCTTAAAGTAGAGGAAAAACACTATAATAAAATAACAACCCGTAATTTTCAACTGCAATATTTATTAGTCAGTTTGTATCCCTTATTTTTTGCCATGAGGGTTGCCTAATATCTTTGCAGTAATTTATTGAAGTGTAAATTTATTTTCGCGCAAATTGTGCTTTGTACATAACTTTTAGACATAAGGTGACAAAAAGCAGTACCTAGTAGAATGTTTGTCTTAATTTTTATTTTAGAATTGCTACTTTTTGTAACGACCGCTAGGTATATAGGAAATATTATGTCTATTACCAATGAATGGAAAAGAATGTTAAATATATTACTTTTATTGTACAACATTGTTTTATTTTTTAACAGATCCTCCTTACCAGTTACATTAAAATGGGTAGTTCCTTACCTACCATTGTGGCAATCTATACTTTTTACAAGACATATAAATCGTACGGGCAAGCAGCCGGGAGAAAGGAAGGAAGGCAATTTATAAATCAGGCTTTACCGGTATTTTGAAAACCTAATCTTAGAAATTCAATAATACTTGTTGCTAAATAAAAACTGCCAATTCTACCTGTGTAGCGTACACTACACATACATAGGTACATACAATGTTTTAATAAAAAAGAAACATTTTGATCTAATGCTAATTTTTTATCCATTGAAAAATAAATAATATTTAAATTTTAGCCAATGAAAATTTTATCCAACGAAAATTTTATCCAGTGGAAATTTTATCCAATGAGAATTTTATCTAATGGAAATTTTATCCAATGAGAATTTTATCTAATGGAAATTTTATCCAATGAGAATTTTATCCAATGAGAATTTTATCTAATGGAAATTTGATCCAATGAGAACTTTATCCAATGAGAATTTTATCTAATGGAAATTTTATCCAATGAGAATTTTAGCTAATGAGAATTTTATCCAATGGAAATTTGATCCAATGAGAATTTTATCTAATGGAAATTTTATCCAATGAGAATTTTATCCAATGATAATTTTATCTAATGGAAATTTTATCTAATGAGAATTTTATCTAATGGAAATTTTATCCAATGAGAATTTTATCCAATGAGAATTTTATCCAATGAGAATTTTATCCAATGAGAATTTTATCTAATGGAAATTTTATCCATTATTATTATTTTTTTTAATTTGCGTATTTGTACTCTCTGGAGCCAGTACTTAGGGTTAAGTTTTTTTTATAAGACTGATCTCACTAAATTTTATTGTTTGTTTTTTGTTGTTATTGAATCGTATATGTGAGTATCCCATTTTTATATCGGCAATTTTGTAAATAAATGTTTTAGCTTTTAAGGAAACTGTACATACTTTTAAACATTTATAATAATCGACGATTAAATGTCTGTAATTGTATTTCAACTGGTGTTTTATTTGTATAAATTTCCACGTCACCCGGCAAGTATAATAATTATTCTGCCACGCGTTGACATTTTTTAAAACCATTATAAACTAAAAAAAAAAACAAAGTATCAAAGCAATCTTAACCCAAATTGCAAAACTCAAAAACATAAATTCGTTTTTTAAAACTTTATAATAAACGTATAGGTTAAAACAGCATATAAACAAAACAAGTGTCAACTATTTTTGTTGTCAACTTAGTAAGCATTCCGTAAGCATTGTGGCAATCTATACTTTTTACAAGACATATAAATCGTACGGGCAAAGCAGCCGGGAGAAAGGAAGGAAGGCAATTTATAAATCAGGCTTTACCGGTATTTTGAAAACCTAATCTTAGAAACTCAATAATACTTGTTGCTAAATAAAAACTGCCAATTCTACCTGTGTAGCGTACACTACACATACATAGGTACATACAATGTTTTAATAAAAAAGAAACATTTTTATCTAATGCTAATTTTTTATCCATTGAAAAATAAATAATATTTAAATTTTATCCAGTGGAAATTTTATCTAATGGAAATTTTATCCAATGAGAATTTTATCTAATGGAAATTTTATTCAATGAGAATTTTATCTAATGGAAATTTTATCCAATGAGAATTTTATCTAATGGAAATTTGATCCAATGAGAACTTTATCCAATGAGAATTTTATCTAATGGAAATTTTATCCAATGAGAATTTTATCCAAGGAGAATTTTATCTAATGGAAATTTTATCTAATGGAAATTTTATCCAATGAGAATTTTATCCAATGAGAATTTTATCTAATGGAAATTTTATCCAATGAGAATTTTATCCAATGAGAATTTTATCTAATGGAAATTTTATCCAATGAGAATTTTATCCAATGAGAATTTAAATACCGGCCTTCCTTCCTTTCTCCCGGCTGCTTGCCCGTACGATTTATATGTCTTGTAAAAAGTATAGATTGCCACAATGCTTACGGAATGCTTACTAAGCATGCGAGTTGACAACAAAAATAGTTGACACTTGTTTTGTTTATATGCTGTTTTAACCTATACGTTTATTTTAAAGTTTTAAAAAACGAATTTATGTTTTTGAGTTTTGCAATTTGGGTTAAGATTGCTTTGATACTTTGTTTTTATTTTAGTTTATAATGGTTTTAAAAAATGTCAACGCGTGGCAGAATAATTATTATACTTGCCGGGTGACGTGGAAATTTATACAAATAAAACACCAGTTGAAATACAATTACAAACATTTAATCGTCGATTATTAGAAATGTTTAAAAGTATGTACAGTTTCCTTAAAAGCTAAAACATTTATTTACAAAATTGCCGATATAAAAATGGGATACTCACATATACGATTCAATAACAACAAAAAACAAACAATAAAATTTAGTGAGATCAGTCTTATAAAAAAACTTAACCCTAAGTACTGGCTCCAGAGAGTACAAATACGCAAATTAAAAAAAAATGACTAGGTCAGAGCTTACAGATACGTGGTGTACGTTTCCAGTTTTTTAACACTCACTGTATCCACTATGAGATACCGTTACACCATCGTCACGTTCCGCCGCTTCTTCTCGCCGCTGTTCACCGAGGTCATGGAACCTTGCAGCGAAGAGTTGAAGGGCGCCATGTCGTTCCTCTGCATGGTCTGGTAGATGGGGTGCGATTGCGGCGGAGCGGTGTGCACCCCGTAAATGCTGTAGTTCACGGGGTATCCGTTGGAGTTGAAGGCGGGTAGCGGGGGCACCGGAGGGGGGATGTGCCCTTGGGGGTACTCCATGTTGTGACCGTTGAGACTCATGTGGTCCATGGTCTGCCCGTTGATGGACATGTGGTCCACTTGCGAGCCGTTCATCATCATCTGTTCGTCGTTCATCATGTTTTCCAGCGGGCTGTTCCTCCTTTCGTGCTCGTGCAGCAGCTGCGAGGCGCTCCAAGAGTTGAACGGGGAGAGCGTAGGTTGCGGGTTTCTGTTGTTGGAGATAACGCTTACACCGCCGTAGTTGTGCGGCATCTCCCTCTGTTGCTGGATGATTTGTTGCTGCTTCAACTCCTCAATGAGTTGTTGTTCTTGCTGATTCACCAAGGAGTAGCGTTTTTTGGTCTCATCCTCGTAGGCGTAGTTGTTCACCGGGACTCCGACTTGATGTGGATCGGGAATGTCATTCGCAGCGGTGTAACTGGGCGCCATATTTGCACTATTCTGTGGGCTATTAGGTACGATGGTGATGTTGGAGTTCAACTTGTTGTTTTTCATGTCTTTGCTGGCTTTGTGGCTTCCTCTGTCTCTACGCTTGACCACGCAGAAGTAGCAGTACACAATCAGCAGCACCACCAACAGTATGAACCCGATGGATACGGGAAGAATCAGTTCGAGGCCTATGTTCATCGTTTTCGCGATGCTCGGTCCTGCTTGATCCACACCTACAGAAGGCACGTTGTTGGGCCAGAAAGATTGGTCGTTTGAGGAGTACGTAGGGGCCACAGTTGGCGGTGGAGGAGGAGACGGCACCAAAACTCTAACCCAGTTGGAAATGGGTCCAGCTAAGTCACCTTTTTGGTAAGCCTTGATGGCGAAATACACAGGTTTATCCAACATCTCTTTATTTTGGCTCATATCCAGGTTGAAGGTGGTTTCAGAGCCAGCTGATAGAGGGAGCGGTTGCGATCTCTCCCACACCATCGCGTTGGTTTCGAAGTTCTCCGTGACGTCCAACACAGACTGGGCGTATTTAATTTCGTATCTGGACACGGTGTTTCCAGCCATATCGGGAGACGTCCACGACAGTCTCGCTTTCATATCCTCGGGAATCACCTCCACCTTCAAATCACCAACTCTCCCCGCGGAAACTTGACTGGCAGACAAAATTTCGTCGGAGGTGATCATGATGGTCACCTTCGGTAAAATTCTTTGGAACGGAGAAATCGGTTGAACTCCATTTGACGAAATGACACTGCCGCAACAGTGTTTAACTCCTGTAAAAAAAATTAATTTAGAATTTTGAATGGTTGGTAAAAAAAACTCGTCTGTCTTACCTTGAGTGTTTGAAGAGCTGGACCAAGTGTAAGCAGTGTTGCCGTTATCCGAGATGGAAACTTCGAAGTTGTAAACCCCATGCCCCCATTCGGCAGCGCTGAAGTACTTGGTGTACACACCGTCACCTTTGGTGATGTCGGGATCCCCTGAACCGGTATCCAACAATTCGAACTTGTACTTGTGCGGCAACGATCCGTTGATCTCGGATTTCGTCACGGTAACCTCAACTTTAGCGCCTAGGACGGGAAGAGCGCCGTATTTGACTTCAGCGAGGAGGATCAGAGGGTCGCCGGGTTTGTTCCTGTGCGTCCTGAAGTTGGTTGCGATTACTGGAAGTTCCGGTGATTTGGGACTTGCGGTGACTTGTAGGAAGTGCGGCTGGGGGTTGCCTTGGTACGGTTCCACGGTGTAAGTCCAGGTGCCGGTTTCGGATATGTTGGCGTTGAGTGTGATCATCTTGAAGTCCAGGAACTTATCGTTCCTCGTGGTGTAGGTGACTTGGCTTGGACTGGTGAGTTTCAGGCTTTTTATGAGAGGCGTTACGGTGTTGTGGGTGAAGAATGTGAACTTCGCGGGTTCCCCCATGTTGGGTTCCAGCATGAAACTGCCGGTAACGGAGGTTCTTCCATCATCAGTGATCTCCCTTCTGTGGATTTCCACCGGGAGATCCGATGGAGGGCCGGAGTAGAAGTTCTTGACAACGTTAAATAGAACGTTGTGCAGTTCGAAGTATGTTGTAAGAAGAGTAGTGTCTACATTCAACTTTTTCTCGAACACAGCGAAATCAACCCCGTGGGTCTCATCGGAGAGTCTTCTCAAAGTGTGCTCTCTAACGATGTTGGGGTAGTTTATGGTGGCAATCCTGATCTGACTCTTCACCGCGTCTTTGATGACTTT